CCGCGAGCAGACTCTAACCACAATCGGCAAAGCTCTTATGAACGGAGATACGGGCCCAGTCCTACCTCCGCGACATCTGCAATCTCGAAAGCGCTAAATATGGCCAGTGGGAGATTGTTTGGCGTTGGCTTTTCTCCCCCGCTAACTCTAACGAAAGGTGGACGCTCTCCACCGCTAGCATACAACCCATTTCCCGCCTATCCAATTTCCCCGCAAGGTAACCTTGTCGTTATCGGGGACGGAGCCAAGACGCAAGTTGCGTTAGACGAGGACACAAAAACAGTCCAGATCATCGAAGAATGCGCCACGCGGAGTGATGTTGTTTACGGATTTGCTGAAGTCAAGTACAAACAGTTGATACCGCTGGCTCCGTCCATGCAGTCGGAAACGGCTATTCATCCTGGTACCGCTTCACCAGAAATGGAAGTTGACCCGTCCCAGTCAACTGATGGCGGACTCACCGTCGATGCTGTTGTGACCCTTTCTGAGGAGGCCCTGGTACTTTATGTGAAGGCACTCTCCCTGCTCGCCAAATCGATGGATATTGCCGGTGCATGGTGGGCGCGAAAGAACACAGGAGAAGTGGTTGGCATTGGCGACGGTTCATCTTCGAGTTCGGGGAATAATCATAACGGCAGTGGCAATACAAGCCCTGCCGCGGGGAACCGTGTGAATAACGTCGTACAGTGGGTCAGAAACCGCTTCAATGAAGTCCTGGAAAAGGCAGAGTTTGTCCGGCTCAAGCTTGTGGAGGGCCAGAAGCGACTACCTACCGATCATCCTTCACATCCAAGTAACAATGGTAACCACTCGTATGGATCGGATGCGGGGCTGGGACTGGGGACGTCTGTTGATCAGATCGTCGTGAGCTCTGGGATCACTGCGGAAAAACTCATGTACGACCGCGCGCTGGAGATGAGTCGGACTGCGGCCATTAATGAGCTTACTGGGGAGGATTTGCCTGGCTGTGAAATTGCGTACGTCACTGCTATTAGGATGCTGGAGGCTGTTTTGGAAAATGATGAGGAGCTGCCGTCGAGGAGATCTGGACAGGCTGAGAAACCCGGTATTGATAATGACGTTATCAATGGGGTTCAGTTGGAGGATCGCCAGATCGTGGTTAAACGTGAGTTAAGATCTTGTATTCTTTCTTTGTCGTGTTTTTGATTTGCAGCTCCTATTTTCTTTATCATTCCATTGTAGCCTTTAATGAATTCTATGTGATTTCCAACTAACATCTAATTTATATAGTTGTCGCCAGCATCCGCACACGGCTCGCGGAGCTCCGAAAGAAAATGACGCTGATGGCTAAACGAACGTCCGGCCCCCCAGTCATTCAGACCAAAGTTACTGGCATATCATCGCATCTTCGCAGACCTTCTTCACCCGCCGTCACTGCCTCTGCGTCACCTCGGTGAGGAAATTATCAGAGGCTAACTCGGCTGGCCTTGTCCTTCCTCGCCTTCTGAACTTTTATTTACGTCCTGCGAGCTTGGATGTAAGTAATGTATCGCGCTAAGTGCCACGTACTTGTTTGTTTGTACGTGACGGATGCAGTCGCAGAGACGATACAAACGCCCAGGCGAGGGTCTAGTTTGAGAGGAGACCCCGTCTCCTGTCGAAAATGAGACTCTTGCGGGCCTACCTTTTCCTCCCATTGGCCAATTTCGAGCGAATGCTCAAACGCCGTTGGCCTAGTCTAATAATATTCTAACCGCGGTAATTATCTCAGGATGCGTGCGAGTAAAACTCGGCTCACTACACGCGGCGCGGGGTTCTCCTTTTTCGAAAACTGCACTTCCACGAGGTATTGCTTACGCCCGTCTACTGTCCCGTTTCGTTGAAGTTCCTTTTCACTCTATTCATTTTGACCTTCGCATGGAACGTACGACCGTCAACCGGAACATAAGCGGTATATCCGGTTGCGACGTCCCTCGGCTTTTATCTGTTCTTATTTTATTTTATGTTCGTTTCATCTCTTGCTATTACTACTTTATTTCTTTTTATCTTCTCTGTACTTGCTTTATTGCTTCTCTCCCCTCCTGGCCATTTCTTATCTATTGTCGTTCTTTCTCAGCTCATCAACTCATTCGTCTTATTTTATTCTATACCCCCCAGGGCTGCAGGGTGTTAGTGTCTTCTTTCCTTTTTTTTTTTTTTCTCTTGCAATTCTCTCTTTTGAGTGTGTTCTGGCGCATTTGTTTATAATTTTATCCATTCTGAGACAGACACGAAAGCACATGGATTATTCGATTCACTGATTTGACGAATGGGCGGGATGGAAATGGTGCCTTGGGACGGGTTGTGGGGAGCTTATTTGCTTTTTTATTTTTTGGTCCTTGGTCTTTTTAATATTCATTTCTCAATCAGTTTCTCATTTATCGGGTATATGGTTTGGTTTGGCTTGGTGTGGTTTGTTTTGATTTCACTCCTTTACATATTTCTTTTTCGCATTACTCGAACTCCTTTCACGCTCCCCCCCCCTTGTTTAATATACATTCGATCTACCCTATTTACAGATTGGAACACATGGGCGAATATGGGGCAGAAAGGGGTTGGGGGGCTTTTTGGTAAAATACTGGAGAGGGGAGGGACTGAAGTCTTTCTGAAGCTGGAGAAATATGGAGTTGTTCACACTTTCTTTGGTTTATGGTTTATGGTTTATGGGTTAATTAATTGGGCTTCGAGGGGCCTGCGGTTGGAGGATTGGTATTTTATACAAATATATATATACTAACAGGTTTATCTGACTGAATTAAACCATTTGATTGCTGTTCCGCTCTGCACATAGGGTCATTTTACTCGTCATTTAATCACGTAGTTGCCCCATGTATAACTAAATAAACCCGTTACCGGCCGCTGAACTTCCTCCCTAGATTATCATTAGCAACTTTAAATCTATGAAGTGGGATTTTATAAAAGTAAATCCTCATATAAATATGCCAACCTTGCGAATAAAAGATCTCAAATAGGCAACGGAGGCTACATGTTTTTAACATCTCCACATCAAGATCCACCTATGCAATGTCTACACACATGCTGTTAAATGATCCACCTTATTCTTTGATATTATATAACATTGAAAACGGAGTATAAGGGGTGCAGCTTCGTGAATATCCGCCATTTGCCAGGGATAACGTCAAACGGATGAGGCCAGTGACATCCGACTTGAACGCCCCGTAATTGACTATGAAAGCTTTGCCGACGCGGACTGGCCAGACGATATGGTGCTAAAACTCGACGGGTAACCGTTCTCTATAGAGTCCACCCAGGTGAATATGGAGCTGAATATGTGATACATTGTCAAGCGATGTGGTATCTCGTATATTTACCAGGTATATCTGCATGGTGACAAGCGTCGCCGCGAAGTAACTAGGCTAGTAGGATCTGCGTCACGGAATTCCGCGGCGAGATGATATATATTCGAAAGTTCCTCGGATTCAGACAGAAGACGCTGGGCGAACCTGTGTCGGCCATTTCTGCAGATTGGAACAGGAGGGAGTAGCATATCGCGAGCAGCACGTCTAGTTCCACGCTGTTTTGACTCTCCTTGGAGATAAGTTCGCGAAGGCCAGGCAGAGCTAGACCTCGATGGTATACAGCGCCGGTTCTATCGTGCGTGCGGATGCTGCAGGCGGCTAAGTATTTACACTAACGGTCGGCAGGGTGAATATGTGAGCGTGTCACAGAAGGCCTTGGGGGATAAATCTGGATGCACCTATTGTAAACCCTTTGCTCTTGTTTATCCCGTGTCTAAAGTCCGCTATTGAAAGTTGTTAGTCCATACTAATGTTGACTGATGATGTGTTTTGGTGTCGGCCTGCCTCAGCCCTAAATCGCGATATTAATCAGAGAGATGCGAAAAACACGATATCCGACAAGCCTCAATGGACTCGTAAAGAGCCATGTACTTGATTGGCCCTTTATTTTTTTTGGTTTATTTACATGGCTTCGGATTATGACCTGAGAAATCTGTTTCCCTACGTTATTTTGATGCCAATAGGATGCGCGCTGTTGCGCATCTGCTCTTGCATACGCGGGTGATGAACTGTTGTCAGCTACGTACCATGAGGCAGATATGAGCAATAAGAAGCGGCTTTCATGATGCGCTGCTATACTATATAAAGGCTGAGTAGATGTCGTAGTTGAGGACATTTGATTAGATTTATCTCTTCACTGCACTTATCTAGTTACCATTGTCCCGACGTATCTTAAAATACTTCTTGTCTTCCCCTGATATCAAAATCATGCTGTTCATATCTTCAACACTCTCTGCATTCATCGCACTAAATATCCTACCTGTCATGCCCCACTCAAGGCTCTCCAACTCGTGCTGGTGCATTCCTAACAGCAAACCCGGGGATACACCGTCCATGTTCCAACATCTGTGAACCAGGCATCCACCGGGTTAAGGTATGCAAACTAGGATAATATCCAGTGTGCCGCGCCATCCCTCGGAAAACTCCATTTCAGGAAACCAGCTGGTCCTCTGAAGCAAGACAGGATTCAAAATGGATCCACGCCTCTATTTTCTACCAATTGCATTAGTGCTATTCCATCTTTCTTCCCTGATTTGGGAATTAGTTCCAGGTCTTGGGGCTAGGAGAACTGTCTCTTTTCTTAGTGTTCAGGTGCCCGAAGGCGTCTAAAGGGAGACAATGTGCTCGTTCTTCATTATGTCCATGGGAGTGGCTATGTCTATGGGAGCAAAGACTTTGCAGGTGTCGCTCCAGATGGCACGGGCTATACGAAAATCTTTCTCCGTCGTCTCAAAAGTTCATATATGTGGCTAGCAACTATCAGTATGTTTGCCAACCCTATATATAACTAGGCTGGCTGGTATTAATTACTTTAGCTTTTAGTGTGGGCTTTTTAGTTAGAGCTCATTACCATCTGAAGATATGGATGCCAATATTGGATTGCATGATACGAAGGCCGCATTGGATTGGACATGAAACCACATATCCAACTTCGGTGGTGATCCTGATAAAATCACTACCATGGGAACAAGTGACAGGGCAGCAATGATAGATCTGTTGCTTGTTGCAAAAGGAGGCCATGAAGTTCTCCCTTTTAATCAGGTTCGTTCACTTGACCTTATTGAAGCTAACTGGTCAAATTCTCAGGCATTCATGTCATGGCCCTGCATCCGGCCTTGCTGAGACCCCACCTGCCAACAGGCTATGTTTGACGGAATTTTAAGGGCCGCAAACTGCACGACTGTTGCCTGCTTGCGCGATGCGCCGCAGGAGGTTCTCTTCAAAGCAAATTCGTTTCTTATCAATGAGGTCGGCGATGGAAGTACGGGAGCTCTTGGGCCCCTTACTGGCTTCACACCAGTTGTTGATGGGAAGTATATCGAAGACCTTCCAACTGCCCTTTTAGCACGAGGATCGTATAATAGGAAGGTGAAACGCGTGGTTGTTGGTACATGGCCAATGAGGGAACGGGAATGTCACTAGATGTCGGCATGCCAGATGCATTCCCTGCGCTTGTTCGAAAGACCTTACCTTACGCCGATGACGACACTATCAAATGCATCTAGTCGATGTATGAGTATCCCGCAAACCTCCCTCAAAAAATTTCATGGGACTGGGCGACCAATATGTCATTTTGCCTGCAACGCCTACTTTAACGCGAAGGCTTACAAAAACAAGGCTCAGGGATATGCAATGACGATCCCACCAGCTACTCACGGATTGGATCAGACCTGTACGATCCCCCTTTTTTATCATTTATTTTCTCGAGTCAGGTCTTTCTAACAGCTTGAAACGAACAGACTTCCTTTTCAACAGCAACGCCTCCACACCAGCGACAGACATCGCCGCGGCAAGAGAATTTCAGGAATATGTGCGGCGATTTGTGACATTTGAGAGGAATCAGGAGGACTATCGAGGCCTTGACGACTGGCCGAATGGTCCTGGAGAAACCTCGTTCGAAATCGTACTTGGCAGTTTTGAAGTGCAAAAGGGATTACTGGGATGTCAACCACCGCTGTCAAGTCTTGAATGATATCTTTAGCGACAGGAAGAATGAGGCTGTCGGAATGGGTGTCACGGATGAATATGTTGAAGACATATGAATCTTATGTGTATCAAGATCTGCTTGTTTATATTATCCATGCACTATCTAATATATCTATTTCATACAAAAGATAGAGCTATTTATAGTAAAATATATGTGCGAGCCAAGAGAGCTAGCATAAGCGAGTATTAGATGAGTGTTGTAGTAAGCTGATGATGATGAGAAATATTGTAGTAATACAATGTTGGTGGCGTTCAGTAGTGTATAACCTCTTTTTCCTGACAGAGGCATAGGCATGTGTAAACTTTAGCGCACGAGATTCATATGAGAATCTAGCGTCACGTGCGCGAGATGGGTTGCTGAGGTGTGGCTGTGCCCGTATCCAGATGATACGAAGTGTAACTAGATTGTATATCTAATGTTTAACTAGAATGATCACATTTTCAGGTATATAGATGATAGATGCATTTATTGCACTAATCATCTGAACAACCATTGATAAACATAGAGCGTAAGCTACCAAAGCATCGAACTCGAACCACCGCTAAACTGGCCAAACACCAAATGCCTCAGCTAGCCGAGCCGTACAAATATACAACTCTCCCAACAGCAACATCCGTACAGGATCTACATACACAGCGTAGTAAGTTCGGACTAAGGTTGTTGTCGTCTAATTAAGCTTAAATCTTAGCGCCCCAGCGTTCTACCCTGGAGGTTTACTCCGTACACAGTAAGCTAATGTCGGCTTCCGAGGCCATACCCATGGGCCAAGACGCGCCCGTTTCATTAATAATAGCAAGGGACAACACGCGCCACTGTGTAAACATTGGCTAGCGAAACATATGCCCAAAGGACTTCACCGCAGGAATGCCACTGGGAAATCCGCTGAGCTCTCAGGAAAATGTTCCGTTCTAGCTGGAGACGAGTCACATGGCTTGGGACGTTTTATCGTCAGTTCCTCAGCGCTGTTATCTCAGCAAGCTCAGACGCTTCTCCAGATATTCATTGCTGTTTTAACACTGGATTGATGATTATGTCATGAGCTAACCTCAAATAAGCAATAAGCTAACCCAAATAGTAAAATCAGGTCATGTGAGTGATGATATCTTGCGAAGCGTCTGAGAAGAAACAGTTCCTGATTGTTAGCAACACGGGAAGGATTTGCTCAGTACCCTGAGTATGGAAGAGAATTCCAACTCAACTTCATAGATTCATCATTTCTGTATCACCTTGGAACCTTAGAATAACAATGTTCTCGCGATGTATCTGATTTTTATATTCATATCTCAAGTTCTTAGAATAGAAGTATCACCTCAAAGTTGATCAGTGTGTTTTTGAACACAGGAATTTTGATCCAATTTCTCATACAAAAAAAAGCTCTTAGAAATTCTGAGATCAAAAAATATGATCATTTTCAAGAGTATACATCTATCTTAAATATAGATTTTTTTGAAATATTAAAGAAATATTTCTATTCTTCTTCTCTTTAGCTATAAGCTAAGGTGATTTTCAAATCTCAAAGATATGTGGATATATAGTAATAGAAAGTCAAAGTTGAAGAATCTGAAAAATCCTTGTAAATCTCAGGAATCTCCATTGAAGATGGAACCATTTCTTCTCAGACCCTCTGGCGAGGATTGCTCTGAGCACATGACTTGTATCAAAAGTAGGTTAGTGTCATGCCGGATTAACTAGTTAATAATAATGCTGCAACCCGTTCAAACCGAGCCAGAGGGTCTGAGCCCGCTGAGATAACAGCGCTGTACTTATGGATCGCACTTGCCCTGCAGATGTGCGGTGTGTAGCATGCCTCTTTCCATCCAAACTAGCCCAAGTTGAACGAGGTGATAACTGTTGGATGCGCTTTCCCTTTTCTCCGCTGGGGGTCCCTTTCTGCTATTTATTGACCTCATCCTCTTTTGCTTCGGGCGATATGGTTTATCTTCGAACAACATCCAGATAGTACATAGACATTCTTCCCATTGCTGCAGAGCGCAATCAGCCTTAGCTTTGAATAAATTGCATATCTACCTGATATAGATTTGCTGCAAACGGCGAAGGTCAAAATATTTTCCTTGCCATAAACCTGATTTATTTTTATCAGGACATTTATGTCGCGGTTACCAGATGCCCAATCGAACTTGTCTCCTTTGTGCAGAAATATTTCGCCTCGGCCCGTGCAGTCGCCTTCGGGCAGTATAAGGCAGGGTGGGAACCATGAGTCTTTGGTCAAGAGGAGTTCAGGAAATTCAGGACTTACTACGGAGCTGTGTGAGAATAATGGACCTTTTTGTTTGTTTCATGTTTCTTTAAATCCTGCGCTATGTTTATGGAAACTTAAGAGTTTGTTGCTGGTTGTTGCTTACATCCGGTGTGCTCGCAGATTCCAGCAGCGTGACAGAATACTGCCCTGAAGACCGAAGGCAAATAGGTATCATCAGTGCTTCCTTTTTGATCTTTAATAGGATTATTGGAACAGGTATATTTGCAACTCCCAGCGCTATTCTAGCGCTCACAGGTAGTGTCGGGCTATCTTTGATAATATGGATAATGGGTATGGCTATTGCCATGACTGGCACGGCAGTCTACCTTGAGTTCGGCACTACGATCCCAAGGTACCTGCTAACCTTTTCCCGTGGCTCCACCCTCGCCTAATAGCTCTGTGTATTGACTAGTGATAGAAACGGAGGAGAGAAGAATTACCTCGAATATGTGTATACCAAGCCGAAATTCCTAGCTACAGCAATGTTCGCCTCGTATGCCCTGTTTCTGGGATGGGCGGCAGGTAATAGCGTCGCATTTGGCGAATATGTTCTTCACGCAGCGGATATTGGGGTGAATCGATGGAATCAGCGGGGTATCGGTTTTGCATGTATCACTGTGGCATTTCTCATACACGCAACCGCTGTCAAATGGGGGCTGCGTCTGCAGAATCTCCTTGGAGTTATGAAGCTGATTATAATCCTCATTATTGTGGTTGGAGGGGCTATGGCTCTTGGTGGCCACATGAAAATTGAGAAAACTAACAGCTTTTCTCACCCCTTCGAAGGAAGTATTCCAAGTGTATATGGGATCGTCACAGCACTGTATAGCGTGATTTGGTCGTACATTGGATACTCAAACGCAAACTATGTGAGTTAGCACGCTTCTGTCCCATACTTATTTATAATCTCTTCCTTACATATCACCAGTCGTTGAGTGAAACGAGAAATCCAGCTCGAACATTGAAAATCGCTGCGCCTATAGGGGTTGGTCTTGCGGGTGTTTTGTATATGCTTGTCAACGTTGCATACTTTGCCGCTGTTCCGAAACAAGATATCTTGGGTTCCGGACGTATCCTAGCAGCCTCCTTTTTTCGAAATGTTTTTGGGCCCAAAGCAGAGAGGATTTTGTCCGTCTTTGTCGCCCTGTGTGCCTTTGGGAATGTTCAGGCTGTTATATTTTCCCAAGGTAGAAGTGAGTACCAGACATGTACGCCTGCAGCCAAACTTTGATGGCTAATGTGCGGATAGTTATCCAAGAGTTAGGTCGAGAAGGCGTTCTGCCATTTTCCAGGTTCTGGGCAAGCAATAGGCCTTTCAATTCCCCAGCTGCAGGGCTTTTCGAGCATTATGCTATATCCGCCATTGTTATGCTTGCCCCCCCACCGGGAGATGCGTACAACTTCTTGCTCAAGTAAGTTTTAATCCTCTACATTCAGCGGCATGCATCTGACCATTTCCTCCAGCTTGATTGCATATCCGCTCTCAGTTGTGAACATATTTGTCTCTGCTGGCTTGATGCATATATATCTATTTCCGAAACGCTATCCCGACTGGTCTCCGACAATACGTGCCAGTCGACCAATTACCTTTTTTTTCTTACTTTCCAACGTCTTCCTGGCAGTGGCACCCTACCTACCACCGCCCGATAAAGAACATAATGTCTATGCACATTTGCCATACTATATTCATTGCGTAGTTGGGCTTGGTATTTTTGCGGTAGGTGCGATATATTGGCTGTTTTGGGCGGCATTATTACCTTGGATGGGCAGTTATCGCCTTGGGGAACAGATAGTTATCGCCCCGGATGGCTGGTCGAGGCAAATCATAACAAGAGTTCCTATCGGCGCCGAAGAGAAGGGGAAACTTGGATTGGAAGGAGGCGGAGCTGGCTGGAAAGGATGAGGCTGGGTGCACACCATTAGAGCTTGGTTTTGTTGGACGGATTTATCAAGCGACATGGGATAAAGCAGTTCTTCAACTAGTTATCATTATTGTAGATTATGATACATGGCTTATACACGTTACTTCTTAATAAGCTGGTCCCGAATTGGGCGGGTCAGGCCAATCCTGCAGAGTGAGGATATCCTAGTTGTTTCTTTTCACACAATGACCAGAGGCAAATCATAAAATGAAAACATAATGTTCCAGTCTTCTATGGAGATGAACTCATTGTACATACCTACGCAGCAATCACTTCTGAGAATGATGATGAATAGGCAGTGGAACGCACCTCCTCAAACTTGCCGGATTTGTTCTAGCAAGAATCTATAGCCATTCACAGAATCTATAAAAGGCCGAGCAGATCAAGTCATGGTTTTTGGCTTGAACTGCCGGAATTGCATCCGCATTCTCGCATTTGTGGAGAAGGAAGAAGAAATAAAATCATCAAGTAAAAAAAATAAAAAAAAAAAAAAATATAAAAGCATAAAAATAAAAACATAATGACTAAGCGCACCTATAAGTTACCAAAAACATACTAGTGTATTAGATCGGATAGGATCCCTATTGGGTCGGAGGTGGTACTTGTGAATGCTACCAAATTCGCAGGGACACGAGGTACCTTTCCCGTCGCCGGAGCTGATTCAAAACTCCGCCGCAAGCTGAAGATTTTCTGCGAGAAACACCAGCAGGAAACCGGAAGACATTGGCTATTATATTTTCGCGAACAAGCCCAGCAAAGCCCCATTGATTGTTTTATCTGTAGTCGGCTTCGATTTGGGGCTCAGCTGTAGTTACGCCAGCAGCCCGTAACCCGTCAGCAATTGTCCTCTCAGCCCAACCAGCCCGGTGCTGCATCGCGTTCATTGGCTCCGTCCTCTCTGCAGCCCCTCGTTCCCTCGCCCCCATAGCAGCAACATTCGCTCTGCCCCGCTTCGCCGCAGTCAATGCTTCCCCTCACCTACAGGAACGCTCGGTCGATCCTGAATACCGCAAAGAGAAAACAGCTTGGTTTCCCCGTCGCTGCTTCCAGACAGACTCTCCCTCCGCGACTTCCACATCTCGACGGTAGAGTTTATAGCTTATCAACAACATCAACAACATCAACAACATCCACAACATCTTCATCCCGTACATCTACAGCCTCTGCAACTCCATCCACAGCGTTCCCCGTCCCTCCTCGATCTCGATTCACCCCTCGAACCACCGTTGCCCGTCAGGCTAAGAGATACTGCTCCTATCGAAGAATGTGCCTCAGACAAGCAGACGATGTTGCTGGAGGAGCCACGGCGTTGGCTGGCCGGGAGATCCTCCCAACCAATGTTAAGCCATTGCACTATGACTTGACGTTGGAGCCGGATTTCGAGAAGTTCACCTACAAGGGTACCGTTATCATTGAGTATGTGACGAGATGTCCTTCTCCTCAAAATGAAGATCACCCTGACGGGATAAGTTTTACTGATTCCAATTTGTTTCACACAGCCTTGATACCGTCGAAGACACCAATTCTATTTCACTCAACTCCATGGATATCGACATCCATACTTCCGCTGTTTCCGCCAATGGCGTGGAGGTGGCCTCGAACCCTTTAGTCTCCATGAACAAGGAAAAGCAAACTGCCACTATTAGCTTCGAGAAAACAATTCCAGCTGGACAAAAGGCTCAGCTAAAAATGACCTTTACGGGTACTTTGAATGACCACATGGCTGGGTTCTATAGATGCTCCTATAAGGGCGCGAATGGCGAGAAGAGATATATCGCCTCCAGCCAGATGGAGCCAACGGATGCTCGAAGGGCATTCCCCTGCTTCGATGAACCTGCGTTGAAGGCGGAGTTCACTGTCACCTTGATCGCAGATAAGAATATGACGTGTTTGAGCAACATGGACGTTGCATCGGAGACGGAGGTACAGTCGGAGATCACAGGAACCACAAGAAAAGTCGTCAAATTCAACAAGTCGCCGCTGATGTCGACCTATCTCATTGCTTTTATCGTCGGCGAACTCAACTATATTGAGACCAATGATTTCAGAGTCCCCATCCGCGTCTATGCCACTCCTGACCAAGATATTCAGCACGGAAAGTTCTCCCTCGATCTTGCGGCAAGGACCCTTGAATTTTACGAAAAGGCGTTTGACAGCGAGTTCCCTCTCCCCAAAATGGACATGGTTGCCGTGCCAGACTTTTCCGCTGGCGCGATGGAAAACTGGGGCTTGATCACCTACCGTATTGTGGATGTTCTTTACGATGAGAAGACCGCGGGCGCGGCTACCAAGCAACGTATCGCTGAAACTGTGCAGCATGAATTGGCACACCAATGGTTTGGGAATCTCGTCACTATGGATTTCTGGGATGGTCTCTGGCTCAATGAGGGCTTTGCCACCTGGATGTCCTGGTACTCATGCGATGTCTTCTATCCTGAATGGAAAGTCTGGGAATCTTATGTCATCGACAACCTTCAAATGGCCTTGTCCCTTGATTCACTACGAAGCAGTCACCCTGTTGAAGTCCCTGTCAAACGCGCAGACGAGATTAACCAGATTTTTGATGCCATCTCTTATTCTAAGGGATCGTCTGTGCTCAGAATGATTTCCAAATACATGGGTGAAGAGAAATTTATCCAGGGCGTCCGGAACTACATCAAGAAGCACGCCTACAAAAACACTAAGACAGCGGACCTGTGGGCAGCACTAAGCGAAGCAAGTGATGGTAAACCTATCGAGTCGGTAATGGATGTCTGGACTAAGAATGTTGGATTTCCAGTCGTCGCTGTTTCAGAAAACGTTAGTAACGGATCGATTTCTGTGAAGCAAAACCGCTTTCTGAGAACCGGAGATGTCAAACCAGAAGAGGACAAGACCATATTCCCTGTGATGCTTGGGTTGAAGACTCGCGAGGGTGTTAACGAAGCACTTATGCTCAACGACCGTGAAGCGGAGTTTAAGGTTCCGGACCTCGATTTCTTCAAGCTTAATGCAGATCACTCGGGCATATATCGGACGTCGTATACTCCGGAACGCCTTGAAAAGCTGGGAAAGGCAGCTAAAGATGGGCTGTTGACTGTGGAGGACAGAGCCGGAATGATCGCTGACGCTGGGGCACTGGCTGCATCCGGTTATCAGAAAACATCTGGAATGCTTTCTCTCCTGAAGGGATTTGATAGTGAGCCACAATTTGTTGTATGGAACGAGATCCTCACCCGTGTTGCTTCGATCCGTGGCGCATGGATGTTTGAAGATAGCAAGATCAAAGATGCCTTGAAGGGCCTCCAGCGCTCCCTGGTCAGTGAAAAGGCACATGAGCTTGGCTGGACATTCTCTCAGGATGATGGCCACGTTCTTCAGCAATTCAAGGCCCTGATGTTTAGCGCTGCTGGATCTTCTGGAGATCAGCAGGTTGTGACGGCTGCAAAGGACATGTTTACCCGATTCGCAAACGGTGATCGTGCGGCTATCCATCCCAACATTCGGGCAAGTGTCTTTGATATTGCCCTTCGAGATGGTGGGGAGAAAGAGTACAATGTCGTGCTTGACTGGTACCGCAATGCGCCAACTTCTGCGGAAAAGAACACAGCCCTCCGCTGCTTGGGCAGTGCAGACAACGCCGAATTAATTCAAAAAACACTTTCTCTTTGCTTATCGGACGAAGTGAGAGCACAAGATATCTACATGCCGCTCTCCGGATTACGCCTGCACGCAAATGGTATTACTGCTAGATGGGAATGGCTTAAGCAGAATTGGGAAGCAGTTACCAAGCGATTGCCTCCTGAGTTTGGTATGTTGGGCTCAGTTGTGCAGATTTGCACAGGGAGCTTATCGACAGATGCACAAATTCAGGATGTGGTCGCTTTCTTTAAGGATAAGGATCAGAAGGTTCGCAGCTCCTCATTCGCCTCATTATTATTCCCCAAATAAATATGTATCATGTATCGCTAATAATTCACGCAATAGGGATTTGATCGTTCTCTTCAACAAAGTCTTGACGGCCTCTCTGCTAAGGCTGGCTGGCTCAAACGCGATCGTGCTGATGTCGAGAACTGGTTGGCAGAAAATGGGTATGTTAGCTCGAAGCAATCTTAGATTGCATTTCACACGAATAATAGATTAGGACTTTGCCATGGTGGTGGGTATAGGAACGGTGCGCACTACAGGGAAAAAGTTAGTGAGTGTTTTGTTCCACAACGTTAGGTGTTACTAAACCAGCGATATTGGTACAAAGGGTATTCAAACTCCTCGTGCCCCATCAAGGGCCTCCATGGATCACATACCTCTTCATATTTTAGAATAACTCCTCTCTATTAAATAATGCTTGATTAGCGTTTGATAATATAATTCAATATAATTCAATGGTAGTGAGTCAAGTATTCCGTATCAAAGAGTGATTTATGTTATGTCTATTATTTGCTTTGATCATAGTTTATACTTCGACCTTGCTCCCCGTATACCCCAGAATGAGGTTTATAATATACAAGAGCTATAACACCGCATATGCCCAATAATTACTCACAAATCCCAAAAGAGCGCCCAGCAGACCAATAGCAAAAGAAGAAAACAAAAATATGACATCAAAGCAAACGGGGAGGGAACAAGGGTGGGCCGGGGGAGTTCCTCTGATTTACCACCCCGCTCCACCTCCCTTCCCAGCGAAGCCGCTGCTCTCTTCGATCTTCTTCTGTGCCCCAGCACCCCGTACAGGTTTCGATTGGGCAGCTTCGTGCTTGCGGAGTTCTTCGGGGACGCGAGAAATAGCGGATTTCATAAGCATCTGTTTGAGATCATATCTGTTTGAAATATTAGTAAGAGTGCTTTTCGACATTAAAATAAAGAAAATCCCCGAAAGGGAGAAGGGGGTGGGGGGTGGGTCTCATACAGAACGTCAGAATCCTCGTTGCCCAAGAATGTAATCGCAATACCACTCTTTCCAGCACGTCCAGTCCGACCAATACGATGCGTATAGTTCTCAATATTCGTTGCCATGTTGAAATTCACCACCAGACTAACGTCAGGAACGTCGATACCACGACCAGCCAGATCAGTTGCAACGAGAACATCGGTATTTCCATTCCGAACGGACGCCAGCGCAGCCTCACGCTGCTCTTGCGTCTTGCTCCCATGCAACGTGACTGACGAATAGCCCATGTTTTTGATATCGCGCGCGACAGCATCGCAGTTGCGCTTGATATTGACGAAGACTATGATTGGTGGGCGGAATTCTCGCGACGATAGGATCTCGGCGAGGCGTTTCTTGCGCTTGTCTTCGCCAGAGATGAATTCGACGCGCTGCTCGACGGTGTCGACGGCTTCGCCGATGTTGCCGATTGTGACGATCGCCGGTCGCCTGAGGTATTTGCGTGCAATTCGCTCGACAGCCGGAGGCATGGTGGCTGTATACATCATTGTTTGTCTGTAGCGGTCTTTGCCACCGATATGTTGGCTCATTGCTTGTGGGTTCTCTGCGTCTTCCGTGTCTGGTTTCTGGTTCGTGACGGGGAGAGCGTCGAGGATTTTGTTCACGGGCTCCTCGAAACCAAGATCAATCATCCGGTCCGCTTCGTCCATGATAACGTAGCAGCATTGACTGAAGACGATCATTCGTCTCTCGATACAGTCTACCAAACGGCCGGGTGTGGCAATGATGATCTCCGCCCCGTTGCGCAAGCTGTAGGCCTGCTCTTCTAGAGAATGACCACCGACAATACTGACAACGTTGAAGCCAAGAGGGGCGGAGAATTTCTTGGCTTCCAGTTCGATTTGTTGTGCCAATTCGCGGGTTGGGGCCAATATTATCGCGTACGGACCGTCATTTCTTCTCCATTCAAACTCATCTAGACGTGGGAGTTCCGCTATGTAGACAAGCAGAGGGAGTAAAAATGCGGCAGTCTTTCCGGAACCAGTCACAGCAACACCGATAAGGTCACGATTCTGCAATGCAATAGGGATAGCAGCTCGCTGAATAGGTGAAGGGTCAGTGTATCCAACTTGCTCAATGATGTTGAGAAGTCTTTTTGGAAGTCCTGATTCAGCCCACGACCGCATGGGGTTGGGAATGCTTCCTCCTTTGGTACTGATATTGAAATCTTCTTTGAAGATTCTCCAGTCCCTTTCGCGCATATGCTCCAACTTCTTCTCAGACCAATGCGCGTCCAACATATGCCGTCCGCCCTCTTCCTTCCTTCTTCTTTCCATTTCCAAAATCTCCCTCGCCCTAACCCTGCCAGCCTCCGGATCTCTATCTTCTAAAGCTCTTGCGTAGTTTCTCGTAACGGCATCGGCAAATTCATCACTGAACCCAGCTAAACGACCACGACCATAGAAATTTGCTGTGGAACGGTTTTGATAGAGCGGATTGTAATCAGGACTCGTATCTTCATCCGCATTCCATTCAAAGTTAAACTTCCTCTCTGTTGTCCGCCTTCGTTTCTTCTTCGCAGAGAAATTCGACGTTTGGCCACTTCCCATATACCGTTGGCGTATCAACGCAGCTTGGGCTTCTTCTGGAGAAGGACGCTTTTCCCCCTTTTGTTCAGCCTTCGGCCCAGGCAAAGGAGGCGGGGGCATATCATTTTGTTTCGTGCGCATCGCAGCTGGAGCAGTTGGGATTTCTCCATGTCGCAAGCCCCGAGGGCCAGCGGGAATCGAAGCCCGCGAAGGTCCATCGATTCTATTGCTTCTTGATGGTGGGGAAGGATATCCATTCATTTCAGGGCTTCGAGATGAGGAGGGCCCAGTACCGTTCGCTTCCAGACGTCTTTGATTTTCGACTTCCTTCGCGCGTTTCTCCAACGCGAGCTTCTCTCTTTCCGCTCTCGAGAGGAATTTGGGCTAGATATTTAGAAAGGCAACAACAGAGTCAGCGATCAACCTATATCTTCTGTGAAGGATAATAATCTATCCAGACATGCCGAAATACTCATTGTAAACAAAATGTACATGTAGGGAAAAGAGGGGCAAATAGCGCAACATGTGGGTGTTCAGTTCAGCCTAACGTACCTTTGATGCGGCTTCATCAGCTTCCCGCTTCTTTCTGAGAAGTTCCTCGACACTCAGAGGCGTAGTTGATCGTTGGCTTCCCCAGCCTTTTTTCCTCTTAGCTGCCGGTAGATCGGGTGGCAGCGCATCGTCTGGAGGAGGAGGGGCTGTGGAGTCTGGGGGCGGCGGAGGAGGAGCAGCAGCTTCTGGGGGCGGAGGAGGTACCAGAGATTCGGGAGGGGGAGGGGGTGGTGTAGGAGGCCGCTCTAAGAGTTCCGGCGGTGGACCGGGAGGTCTATTTTCAGCGATCCAATCCATGTTAATGGTCAAATCACAGATGCTCTTCAAAGAAATCAAGATCTGGCGAAGTATATCGTTCGCGTTTTGCCGCCGAATGGAGCACTAATTAATAGATCAAGTAGTTAACTAGTGGTTAACTAACTAACTAGCTAGCTTATAAATATTTTAGTCAGCAGCATGTTCGGGAATAACAGACAAAGAGGAGGAGCAAAGACGTGAATTGCAATCATTTTCATTCAACTTAGTTAGAACATTCAAATATTCTACATTTCAAACTAGGGTATGAAATGTAGGAGTACCTTTCCTTCAAAGAGTTCAGCTTCACAACATGTTTAGAAATCAAGCAGCATAAAATAACAAAGAAATATAAAAAGACATAAAAAACAAGGTACGAAGAGTAAAATACATCCACCTCCATTCGATCATTGAAACAGAGAGCATCCTCAAATGGAGGCAATGGAGCAGGTACCCGAAAGCTGACCATCATCTCATACCACCCGGTACATTATTTAAATCCATTAATGGTATCCCTGCAACCGCTGTCTACAGAATTGCCTCCGAGCCCACGCGTCTAAGAAGTGAATAGAGAAATTTTTCTGTAATATCTTTTGCCACTAACATGGAGAGAAACGGGAAGTAATGTGTGCCAGGCAGGAACCAAATCCGAAATGATAATAACACAAGAGAATCGTACCACTTGCGCCGGGGGTTATTGAAAATAGCAACATACAACCGAGAAAATGCTTAAAACAAGGCGGGTGATGGGTGTTATACACCCCCATTAGATGAAATGGGTCTCTCGGTTGGTTGATGATGCTGTTTGCCTTGCGGAGCCTGAGCTTGCTGGTTGACTGGTTCCGTGGCTGGTGGGGGTTGACTTCCATTTGAGCTGGATGGCGCTTTATTAACCTGGATATCCTTGTCGGCTAATGGTTTCATCAATGCCTGCACGGATTGGGGACCATTGACCTCGCGGTCGAGAGTCATATACTCCCTTGCAGATTCATTCGAGCCTCGTTCTAACAAGTATAACATATAAATTTGGACAAGTTCTTTTACAACCGCAGGCTGTAGGGTGCTCTTCGATCGAATCTCGCTCATCACTTGCTTAATTCGCTGATATTGTACATCCTCGGTTTCTGCACTGGTAGGCTGTTCAAGTTCGAACATAAGATAGCTTGTCCAGAATGGACGACTATCTGGGTACCATTGCTGGTTTTTCTGGAATACTTGGCGGGCATCATCCGGGGACCCCTTAATCTTCCACAGCAATTTCGCCCATTCTGCCACAAACGCCGCTTTAGCTTGGATGTCGCAGTGCGGAGCGTCAAGTTGAGATTTATAAATCTCTATCGCGGCCTCCAGGCCTCCATGGCGACGTGATAAGTTCGCAAGCGACACAATAGTTTCAATGTGGCCAGGAAGTGGCACCAGAATCGCGGAATGAATATCTTTGGCAACGTCAACGCGCCCAGATAATTCTTCGAAATACGCATAATGAAGTCTGACCTCAGGCCGCGAAATGGGGACATATAATGTGCTGGCACGCTGGTATATATTGCGAACTTCCTCTTCCTTGCCTTCTTGGGCTAGCATCCACCGAGCATATCGAAGCCAGAATTCGTCATAATGTGCACATGTAACGAGGCAGCGCTCGTACAAAAATTGAATTCTCGAAAACGAGCCGTCAGCTTCTTCAAAGTCAAGGTACTTCCTCCAGTTAGACAGCTGCGCTTCGTCTAGCTCCGTTACGTGAAAATAAGGTCGCTTTATTTCAGATTCATATGTCCATCTTTTAGTGGTTTCCGTTTGCGTTCTCGAAAAGATTTCCAGATGGTAGCTGTCGATCCGAAGGCGAAGATCTCTTTCTATTTCTGCCTCACTCTTCGACCCTGGCGGAATACCAGCTACTGCACCGTCCACTTCTGCACGAAATTGGCTTAATGGCTCGGGTGGAACTAACTCAGAGACGGGGCGGGTTTGAGCCATCTGGCGATAGCGCTCAAAGTATCTTGCGTACTGATGCATGGGAATTTCAATCACATTCGCCAATATGGCGAAAATCTTGTCATGAGCTTCAAGACGTTCCTCAAACTCGATGTACTTGTCCCAGAACGGATGGGCTAGGAAATCCAACCCCACGCAGCTCGCACCCCTATCAAAAAGTCTATTTCCATTAATGTTAGCTAATTCGTATTCAATACGGTGGAGGGGAAGGGGAAGGAAAGGAGAGGAAGAAATGAGGGAGTGTGAAGGATGGCAAACATGGCATATGCAATAAGTCTTCAGTGAAATGCCCAACTGGGGCAAGGTCAACGGAGAATGGTATTTCATCGTGCGGCAAATAGATAGAAGGGTCCCCGAACAAGGTCATTGTTGTGCGAAGGAAAAACAAGAGCCTGAAACTCAAGGGTGAGAAGAAGTTTCAAGGGGGAGTCCGGGTAGCAGATGACTATCTCACCCATCAAGGAACTTTTGTTGATGATACTAATCTGCACCTCTTGTCCTGGTGATCACAACAATATCCGCGCTGTGTCGGTATAGTTATGGGGAAGGAAACCAACACGCCCATACTTACTCTCGAATAATGTCTGCATCGTGGGAAGTTTCGACTTTGAAAGCGCAGTAGTTGGTCCATAGATCTACGGAATTCGTAATGCTCGCAACACCTCGTTCATAAACCTACCAAATTACATCATTATTTCCGGTTCATGTAATATACTTTGGATGTAGGGTCCACAAAAAAAAGACTTCGAAAAATAAGGAAATATGCAACATACCATTTCTGCAGCTTCTGTCCCGGCAATTGAAAACTCTAGATCAGCATACTTTTTCCAGTATCCGAACAACAGTGGAAACTTGGCCAGAAACCGATCGTATACGCCTCTCGTAGCTGTGATAGCCTGGGGATTAGAATTGCGATTGATTCCCCCTTCCTGCCCCTCTGCGGCGCGAATCAACTTCTCCCAGTTTTCGAAATTATCAGGATCTTCTAGCTATAGTAATAAAAAGGAAAGTTAGTCTATGTTTGCGACCTCAAGCGCGACCCTCAACGAAAACAACTCACCACCTCCGCGTGCAGCTTCTTCAATTCCGCATTCTCCTCCTCTGTGCCACCGAAGATCACGTCAGCCATATCGACGACTGGTCAGGCTGTAGGCCCGGGAAACGTATACCGAAGTGTATAGAGATCTAGAAAGTAATTGAATAGGCACTGGGGGTTTGATAATGGGTTGTTGATAGATAGATGAATGAATGACTAAAGGGATTATGAGGAGAATCAGACAGCAACGAGGAAGAAAAGAGGTTGCACGCCGCGCTTGGGTTGCGGAAAGTAAACGGTAGCACAAGAGGCTCGGGGGCTTGGCGGGCCTTTCATCTCGCAAGTAAGACGTATTGTTACTGGAACAATACGGACTTTCCTTTCCGTTAAGCGGCAACTTCCCGCGCCCAGCCACATAAAGACTGAAATATTACCAAAGTTACACACTAAGAATATCACGTGTAATATCTATCCCAAATTGTTTTAGTTTCTCCCTCCAACACGTGACCAATTTTCACCACTTTCAATCGGCGCCAACATCAACAACCTCAGCAACCCATCATCATCCTAAGGCTAAGAAAGGGGGCCACTGAGCCAGTATATAGCTCCAATGGCTACTAAACAGGCTGCCGCAGGCATTTTGGAGAACCTCCCTGTCCGGCTCCGCAACTTTTTCGCCCGCTACCCGCCGCAAATATACTCCGCAAATGCCCTTGGAGCACCAAAACTACCAGAGGGTGTCGAGCCCCCAGCTCCAGCTCCAAGTCCCTATACGCCATCTCGCTCCTCTAAAGCTTCAAAAATAGACCAATCTGCCTTCTCAATGTCACAGGCCTTCCTCCGCTCCGATCCAGAACACCCAAACCCATTCCTTCCATACAAGAACCCCGAAACAGGGCGATGGCGGGGCGCCATGATTTCCCTCCGACGGCAGAACGAATTGGTCAAATTAGCTGCGCAATATGGCGTTGAGGAACTATTACCTCCCAGTCGCAAGTCGACGGTATATAAGGAGACGAAGGCTGTTGAGAAGGGATTGAGAATCCGCGGCACGGGTATTGGTCAGAAGGTTAAGGGTCATAAGTGGGAGCGGACGCTGGAGGTTAGGTTGGAAGATCGGAAGAAGGCCATGATGGGTATGCCGGCGATGATCAGGTTGTGGAAACAGGTATGTTCTTGCTTTCTAGCCCCAGCTTGTTCCCAGTTGTTGACTTCAAGGGCTGGTGGCTAACTAATATTTAACAGCGGGGTCACGGACGAGGGTGGAAGAAATATCCACGGAAGTAAAGGGTATCTCAAGAGTGGTGGGAGTTTAATGTGCTTTCTATTTTTATTTTATCTTTGCCCGTTTTCCTTGTCAAATTTTCTCTTGTATGAGTATGGGTGCGGCAACTAGGTATTATTGTATATGTATATTTCTGGCTGCTTCTTTGCGTCTCCCAAATTTTTTTCTTATGGTTTGATATATATATGCTACTTTTAGAAATAGAAAACAGCATGTCATGTTCAGAATATCCCGCGGGCCATGCCAAATTAAAGGATTTCTCCTCTGCTGCTTGTCGGAGCTTGGTCTCCGGGTTAACGGTGAAGTATTCTTGAACTATCTATAAATTATGTCCGCTAGGCAGAAAAAGAGTCACAAGCGTGGTAAGGTATCAGGGAGCGTGGCCATTATATCAATCCTTCGCAGCTTTCGTTATGTACATTCATTACATATACTCATATCTAAAGCCAATATATACAGGATATAGCTCACAACATTTCTTCATACAGCGGCTCAACAACTTGACCACTCCTTATCATAACCTTTCCCTCGTCTACACCATCCCAGGAATCATCAGGCGAAAGGCAAACATGTCTTCCGAACACAACCTTGCCACCAATTTTCCTTGTCTTCGCCAGGGTCGAGAAGGGTTCTTCGCTCCTGACGGCTGTGAACTGATCTACGCATACCATCTGGCAGCGCTGACATGAGCCCAGGACGTCAAATTTGTGAGACCCAATTCGGAACCCTATCCATCTATCTTCGACGTATGGCTGTTCGGCCAGCAACGTTGGCGGTGAAGACATAAGGCTAGGAGTAGTGCGGTTGCTGTCTCCATTCTTGTTATTCAACGCCAGAGTGGGGTTCTCAGCGACAATGATGTTTGCTCGGAATACATCAGCGGCGACTGCTCTCGTGGTCTTGGACGCGGATTTGCCGAGCGATTTAATAGTTTCGTTAAGTTTGTTGACACTGGACCTGGAGATTAGCAGCACGGGGCTTTCGTTTGACAAGCGGATTGGATTCTTGTATAGTTCGCACGAAGGCGTGGATTGCGGGAAAGCGCCTGGCATGCTGTTAGAGGGCGATATGGTATCAGGGGGATGGTAACGTAGCTGGGGTTTCGAGTATCGGACGGATAAATTCGCCGGGAATCTAGCAAGTGTGCATGGGACTTCAAGAAACTCAGAGAAGAATTTTGCAACGACCGGTGACGAATATATTTGTACAGTTACCCTATCACCGCACACCATGGAGGACTTCTTCATGGAGTTTTCATAGAGTTCAGCTATCGAGATGTCGACCGATTGGCCTGATAAAGGCAGCTCTAGGGAATTATTGCCAGTCCCTGGCATGCCACGTGAAATCTGTAGGACTCCCCGGTCAAGATCAACCACAGGGCGTATAAGAGCCATTCGAGGATATCTTTTCTGGCTGAGAGCTACCCCCGTGCCCTGGTGCATTAGACACCATTCTCTATCCCATGCAAGTCCTTCCGGATTAATCTCCCACTCCTTGCCATCGGGGACTATAAAAGCTCCACAACTTTTGATCGGATACACGCAGAGCTTGTCAACATAGAAGTTAGAAGCTGAGGCCTTCTCGGATGGTGTAACAGTTTGAGATGTTGAAAAGGAGCTCAAATTGGATTTGTCCACATAAAACTCATCAATGAATTCCAGGAATCGGTTAACATCGCCGATGGAGCTCATAGCACCAAGGCTAACTCTTAGACCTCCTGTTGGTTTGCCTTCGATAACATCGATGTCATCTCCACACCGTTGACCCGCATTATAATTTCGTTTCATTTCCTCAACTTTCAATCCAAGGTGGTATGTCATGCCACCTGGATTGCATAATGTCCCGGACCGAATTTGGATATTCTTCACTGCAGCGAGTTTCTCAACTTCCGATTTCCCAATCCATTCACCGTTGCTATTCCTCATGTTGAATGAAACAATGGGGCCCTGGGTAGTTCGGTCATTGTAACTAGATGTTTTGTGCTTATACATTTCACAAACAACGGCTCCGTTTGCGTGCCTTTTGTCCACCAAAGCATCATACAGCGTCTTGGCCAACGAGCCAGCGTGGAGAGAGATATTCTCCATGGATCCGTAAAGTCGTTCATGTATGTCGAAAGCTGAATGCAAAGCTATAATGCTGTGGAAAGGTAAGGTTCCATCCTCAAGTTGATCGTGAATAGAAGTCGATTTCTTCGCATGCCACTGATCTTCAAGACTCGTAACCATACCAACTGTGCCCCCTCCAAAGTAGCTTCGCTTGTCAAAGATATCATGAGAGCCCTTACGAACGATAAGAGCGCCAAGATCCGGAAATCCAAAAATTTTATAAAAGCTGAGGACCGTAAAATCAGGGGCAGAATCCGGATCGCTAAGATCTAGTGGCGATGTAGAGACGAGTGACGCAGCGTCCAAAAGTGAGTAGATGTTACAAGCTCGGAGCTTGTGACACCAGTCAAGAGGTAGGCGACGGCCATTCATATTCGATTGAGCCGGATACGCGAACAGAGTGGGAAGAAATGTCCGCCTTCGCATATTTGACGTGCGTTGATGAGATATCCACTGTTCAACTTCCTCGTCGTCCGCGAAGCACCTCCGCCCCCTTGCTGCCAGCTCTCTCACCCCAACCAGACTGGTATGCGCATCCCGATGATACCCGTACCAAAACCCGTTCTCGTCATAGTCTCTTAGTGCATCCGCAACCAGCTTGATCCCAGCGGTTGCATTTGCGACGAACACAACATCGAAATCATCAGGGCTGGCTCTAAAGAAGCGGAGAACTCGTAACCTGGCATCGTCCACCCGCCGTGTAGAGAGTTGGGAAGACGAGGATGCCGAATGGGGATTTCCAAAAAGATTCGCCTTCATTTCTTGTGAAAATGCATCGATGAGGGATGCTGGGTAGAGTGTTGTTCCCGCATGGTCCAGATAGGTTGTTTCTAGAGCATCGGCCAGATGTGTGTTAGCTAGGGCAAAGAATGGGAAGCACAAAATGAATAAAGGATTCCCAAGGCGTTTGTTTGAAACACTAAACGATATATGCATCTAAAGGAAAAGCTGGTAGATCAAATCAAACCTACCTTTGAGAGTGGGGTATTCTCGCTCTCTAATCTCTTCAATCCAATCTGTATAGAAGGAAGCCTGCTGCCTGACGCGGCCAGGCCGGCCATGCGGCAGCGGACGAAGGGGTTGTTGGCCCGTCATGATAATAGCCGTGAGAGTAACTATGTGTTACCTAGGTAACGCCATGCAAGCTCTAAAAGCAGCCATCTGATCATTTTTCAAATGATGCTAAGTTAACTCCCCGAACGAGACCTAGATAGCATTGTTTTGCCACCATAACAGAAAAGAAACAGGAGAGATAAAAACAGTTCGGGCCAGACAGAGAAAAGTATTATCTTATACAGGGCCGACAGAGTAGGCGAGTTTTTAGAAACCCCATTATTGTTTGCCACTAATAAGACGTCGTTGTCGTCGGAGTTCGACGCAGCTTGGAAGTGTGTGGAGGCGGGGATCCAAAGGGAAAGTTTCGGCCATCGGAACCGCCCGAAAAATCTCCAACGCCGGCCGGTAGTTACGGTAACTACAGTAACTACAGTTCCTAGGTACAGAGTAGATAACGGACTAATCACTCCCTATCAACAAAGATATAGGAGAGTATTTTGTTTTTGTTTTGCAATTAGTTCTCCCTTAACTATACAGTCTACTCCGTATACTGACTGGACTGACTGATGCCTGAGCCCGGTTTACCGCAGCCCCCACGTTAGAGGCGGTTAGCTACATAGTGCTAAACAGGGGCCTTTTGTTCCACAACAATGATGCTCTGCTCTGCAGCAACCAATGTCAGATGGGTTCAGGAAGAACTTGAACCCGAAACACAATGTCGATGGCATAGCAAAATAAAGCAAGTAATTATACACTAAAATTGGATTAATATAAACAGATCAGTCTTCAAGAGTGGAGATGCTCCGGTTGACTCTGACGTACACGATAGGACATTTCTACTCTGCACTGAGCCGTTGAAATAAATTTAGAAATTGAGAATTAACTACGTTTCTTGAAAACCTGATGATACCACTGTCACTGAGATCTTGTATATAGAGCCTCGGTGCTATATGATATACCACTGAGGTCTTGATTTCCAGACAGGGTCATGATCAGTCAAGTATCTCTCTTTGTTTTTTACGATAATAACAAATCCGCGTAAATATTGTACTGTATATCATCAGACTCAAAAATACTTTTTATTTGAATAGAATTGAGAATGAAATGATAAGAGATGGACAAACTCTTGACAATGTTCCAGAAATACACTCAATTGTATAACCTCTAGAGAGCAAGAGTCAAGAATTGAATGAATCCCTTGCTCTCTCACCCACATTTTCCTTATTAGGTTTAGCATCTGTGGCATTTAGTGGTTTCTATCAACCTTTTTTCAACCTCGTTTTTCATCCCTCGCGACCGTATTTTCATTCCCCGCGACCGCCCCTTTCCGGACAGGGGGACTGTGGCGTCCACTCTTGCTACTTCCCAGGGCTTCCACTCCTTCCTTCTTCCGCTCCATCTTTCTTCCCCTATCCGGAATTCCCAGGGCTTCCGCTCCTTTCTTCTGTAAAGTCAATCATGATAAACAGACAAGCATGTATATATATATATATATATAGGGGCGCCCGCCCATCTCCATCTTCGGGAATGAGACGAGATTTTACCATTTTACACGTACTATACAACGGTTGGCCGTACGCTACAATTGGCGTACGCTGCAAAATCACTGTAAATTAACTCTATGTTCTTCTGATATGATAGTTTCTTATTTAAGTCATTCATTGCAAATTAACTATTGATCATTTGCATGAACATGACAAAGTCAGGCTGAAGCTCTGGTATTTTTCACAGATGCACGGATCAATCAATACCTTAGAAGAGCTCTTTGGTAAATCAACGGGAACATGGTTCACTCGGGAACATAGCTTTCTCTTTTTTTTCTCTTTTATGTGGCGACCCCTGTATTTGCATTATGTAAAATCGGTCCTATAGCTCAGTTGGTTAGAGCGTGGTGCTAATAACGCCAAGGTCGCGAGTTCGACCCTCGTTGGGACCATGTCTACTTTTTATTTTATTTCTGTTCTTATTCACCGAATTCCTGAAAAATTCATTTTTATTCAGCTGTTAATTTTTTGTATAGTTCACTGATATGTATTTGGCATGGACATAATAAAATACAATGCCTCATCTTCAATTCTCATATACGGCGATGATTAGTGAAATGAAGCATAGCCTCGAACCAAGGTTCTACGAGGCAAACTTGGGGAAGCTGCTTGGACTGTGTGATCAGAAGGTCAGGTCTTTTTACAACTAGAGAGACAGAATCATAAATGCGGATTGAGAATGAAACTTCCAAGGGCTTAAAATGTCTATGAAAATTCCTACTCGCGCGGATAAAAGTAAGCTCGGGTTAAGCAACTGAGATACTAGTTACCAAACCTTCTCTATGTTTACCATATCCGTCTATGCATGGACCGGTGACAAGATACTGTACATGTATAGGTACGGTAACATGTACATGTACATACATACTGAGATACTGTTTGTATGTTGAACTCACAAGATCTGGTGAACGCTCCTGTGAAACAACAATTAGCGACCAGCCCAGATCTTGTTTATACGCATAGTAGATGCGTTTCGTAGCAAAAATTAACCGATTCATAAAAAATGCTAATTTTCGAAATGGCATAGCCGGGGGGTGGGGTCAGGGGAAAAAAAAAGAAAAAAAAGAAACTTTTTAAGGTGGTCTCAACCCCAGTGAGCTATAGGATCGATATTATTAGTTGACAATCAATAGAGACTCATCCCATTGGCTGACATGGGAAAATCATCCACGGGAAGATCTGAGGTTAAGAACCGTTACAATTTCAGAGGTGAGTTTTCTGTTTACGATGGATCTCTACTTCCACTCTGGAAGCCAACTTTGAGCATAAGCATGGTGGTGGATCGGGAAGATTAAAGAACCTTAAAACCACGACGGACCCACAAAGGTGGGGAGCCACGCGACAGGTCGGTCTTGATGCATATAGCCAATCAGGACGTCGGACCAGGTTGCGACAAGGAAAAATTGGCCAGAACAATAATAGGGTAGATAAACACGGAGTAAGGAGGTAAAGTATCAATGGCGTATCTCATTCCTCAATATTAGGGATCTACCTCTATGGGCTAAATCCCCCGGTACCACTACCTTTAACGGAGCGGATGAGTGCGAAAATTACTGTTGAGAAATAGGTATGGCATTACGATATCTACAATGCCTATCATTCAACATCAAGCTACTCCAGCGCACGGGTAGCCTGGTGACTCTCAATAACACTGCAAAGAGTACGACTCTAATAATTAACTACCATACCACATATTTAATGGCGGAGCGCTATATACATATAGATTAAAATATCAAGAGTAAAAATGACAAAACATAAGGGAAAACGAACAATCGTAAAAACATTCATCAATTGATGAATCGTGCTGGGACCACTCCCGAATTCATGTGAAGAAAAGGCGGCGAAGACCCATAAGAATAATACAAAAATTTTCAAGCAAAGGGATGGAGGGGGTGGGAGGTGGGGAGAGAGTGTAAATGGAAGCTTGATACTGTTTTGAATGGGCTAGTTGATTGTCAGCGGAGGAGACGGGCTTGGGGAGGGAGAGGGGGAAAAGGAGAGAAAAGGTGTAAATCGTAAACTAGTGGAGTTAGACAAGCGACATTGCAAAAGGGGGAAAAGGCTAAGCAATATCAAAACAAAGCAACACTCATAATTGGCAACATAAACATCGTTTTCCTGGTCATCAAAATTTCTCACGTCATATCCCTCATATCCTGTGTCTGTTTTCATCTTTCATAGGGATGTAACATAGCACCCATCTCAGTCGTACGATAAAACAAAGAAAAGGTGTGACCCTAACATGTGTACCCGACTATAGAACCCATTATTTTTGCCCAATATATCTCTCGGATAGAAAAAAGGAAGAAAAAAGGGGGGAAAGGAAGAGAAAAGAGACTTCATGACTCAAACATCATAAACAGGCTGTCTCCCGGAGCTGCTTCTCCGATGCCTACTCCCCGAATGCCCACGACGGCTCGAATGCGACCCTCGTCTGCGCGACGAGCTCTTCTCATGTTCCTTCTCCTCATGACGATGCATCAGCATTGCCAGAACAGACGTAATGAAAAACGAGCCAATATTCATAATCCCAAACGCAAACGCGGTCTTGAGCATCGCACATATTTTCGTCGGGTCGCGCGCTAGTGGGTTATTGGCGCGCTGGCCCGCGAAGCCGAAGGGGCCCAGAGATAGAGTTAGCGGGTCCGCGCGGAAGTTTCCGCAGTCTGCGTTCGCGATGCGGCGCAGTTGGTAGACGCCTGCGATGAAGGAGCCAACGAAGCAGAGGTCGATGAAGGCGACGAAGTGGGCGGAGCGTTTGGCGTTGGAGTGGCGGACGAGGGTGTCGAGGGCCCAGAAGATGCCGATGACGCTGACGATGAAGAGGACGAGGATGTAGGTTGGGGTTAGTTGGTTGATTTTCACGAAGCCGTCGACGAACCAGGACTTTTTTGGTGCGAACGGTGAAGTTAGCTTTTGTATTTATTTATTTACTCATGGGCGCTTGGGTGGTTGATGAGATTGAGGGATATAAAGATGTATTTTGTCTTTTCCTTTGAACTCACCAGAATGCCAATGGGGATAATTAGGGTGACTAGTTGGCCTAGTCGCCAGCAGATAAAGAAGAATCCGGCGATCATGTCTGCAGGCTGGCGCGGGGTTCAGTGGATTATTAGGTAGTGTAAAGAGGAAATGCAAATGATGGTTGTGGTGATAGCGGATGCTATCCAACCGGGTGGCTTGCCCACCAGAAGATGATCAGGACGAGATAGGTGCGATACGATGTGGTGGGGAAAATTTGGGTTCAAGGACTCGAATAACACAAAAGCAAACAAGTTTGTACTGTAGTGGGGGGTTTTAATATGTTGCTACTTCAAAAACGATAGGATACAACAGCTGTAGACAAAATATTCAGTACTCGATATATAGAGAGCGGGTATTTGCCTGTCTTCGTCAAGACTGAGATTGGTATATGGCCGCAGATAGAAGCATGTCATAGCGAAGGAAGGGTTCGAGGAATGAACGAAAGAACGAGGACCATCGCGCATAGATGTGTTAAATATAGCCAACCACAGCAAGAGGGCGCCCAGAAAGGCCAACCAGCCCAGGCGTGGTGCAGCAAGGCTGAGGTGGGCGGATTAAGTGCGGTGGTTGGAGGGTTGGAATTTATGTGGCTGGGAAGCTTGCAGCCTCTACTCCGTACATAAAAGAGAGGGCGGGGTCGTGGCCAGCTTCGTTGGGCCAATGGCTAGCCAGGTTCTGGGCAGCTGGTTTGGTTGTTGACAACGCCTGGTAGCGGAAAGAAAATGAAGCGATTGATGTTGAACGCCATGGAACATATTTACTCGGGATCTAGACATCAGCCTTCGATTTCGTACATTAGAGGCACAGATACTGTTTATCGTTTGATCCCGCAACTCTAATTTAATCTGATCTTATCTCTGTGCGTGGCCGCTTCCATGGCAACCCTTGTTTATGTAATCAATTGTTAAATCCATGCGTAACCATTGTGTGCGAAAAGTTTTGTCTCACACTAAGAATTTATCCTGAAATGTGATTACTAGTGTATTGAATCTCCAGGCCACACCACCTAGGATTTAGGCAGTGAGCGAGCTAGAGACAGCAGTCTCGATAACCCCCCTGGAACTCCCTATCCTTTTAATTAAGAGATGGAATGGCAATACTTAATGCCGGTATCAGCATTTCAGTTTAAATTCTTAGCACAAGTCAAAACTTTTCGCGGGAGCGGCCGTACGCTGTAACTCTTTGGTACCTTAACCTGGAGTGAGATATCTCTTGAGAACGATCAGGTAATGTAGAGTGAGATAACTACTACAACAAGCAAAAGGACTATGGAAAAGAATATATAAATGCATAGCATGTAAGATAGTATCTTATTTATGCCATTGCTTCACTAGACTGACCAGCTTGCTGCGCTCTGCCTTGTCAAAAGATAAGAATTTACTTTGGAAAAAGAAACATACTACAGTGACATACAATTTGAAACTAGAGACGCGAAAAGAGGATGCCCGGCTTGAAGAATAGTACCAGCAAGCAGTGATGGCAACAGCAGCAGAAGTAAAAGGCATGCATCGGGACTGAAATTGCCTCCACGGATGAAGCATATGGCAGACAGGCAAGATAGCCAGCGAGTTTAAGAGGAAATATAAAAATTAAATATAAAAACGGAACATAGAAGTAAAAAACCCAAACCCCGGAAATTAAAACGCAAAATAATATGAATATAGAACATGAACATACCCCACCGCCCGGATAAGCCGTACCTCTACTTGTATGGCTCAAAAAACGCCCCCTTACCAAGTCAAACAGGAAAACAAACCGCGATAAAACAAACGGCAATAAAGAGCAAGGAATAAATTGTATAGTGTGCAGCCAGCGGGGAATAGTAGGCGGAAAATGCGAAGAAAAAGACAAACCAGAAGACGAGAAGGAGATATGAAAGCCAGGTGCCAACCCGTTGAAATGGGATCTAAAGGACTCTTATGACAGAGAAGGAACCGAACCAACAGGCGAAGTAAAATGACAAAAAGGAGTCGCAATTCATGATGATGAATAACAACAACACAAAAAAGAAGGAAAAAGGGAAGGGCAATTTCTGCAAGGAAAATGTAGATATGTGTGTAAAGGAGGAAGAATAAAACTAAAAGAAAAAGTAATGGTCTAAGATAAACCACGAAGGGGAATGCATCGCGGCCGTCTAATAGGCAAGCTTGTCTGGTAGAAAGGGGTATTCTCAACGGTTTATTTCTCTTCTTATGTACGCTGAGAATCAACGAAGGAAAAGAAGAGTTTTCGAGAGGCCCCAAGCTATCATCGCCAGCGAACGAAAAAGTGATCGAACGATTTGGTATAAACAACGGTAGGAAAGTACATATCAAAAAGGATATGGTATAATATCGTAAGTAATTAGAATTCGTGCAGAGTCCCGAATTAGGCAGATCTTCTATTTTTTTTAAATTAATCTTCAAGTCTTTTTCGATTAGAAAAAAGTCTTTCTAATAGGTATTGTTTTGCTGTTTCTTATTCATTCAAATTTTCGGCGACTCGACAGGGGACCCGAGGTGTCCACTGCTAGCTAGGGGTGGAGGGGGGCGCGACGCTGTTGGCGAAGGGGTTCTTCCCGAATATGGCTGATAGCTCGATTGTGGAGGTGGATATACCTTGTTCAGGTGAGTTGTGGACTCACTTCGGCTGCGATTCGACCGGCTCCCAGAATTTGGTTGCATTTCAAATGCTACTCCAACTGAATCGCTGCTTGATGAATACTCTCGCTCCAATTCCTGTCTTCGCCGTAGGTAAGGGTCTGCTGTGGAAATCCGGTCGCTAGATATTCGACGAACGGGTGGTGGTTTTCGGGTGTATTCGTCGTCCTGAGCCGTCGATGTAGCTTGGTATTCTACGTCGTCTGTGGGCCGCAGGGGCACCACTGAATCGTTGGAGCCACCCATGTCAAATCGGGCGCGGGAAGGGCCCACGGGGCTGTTACCCCAAGTCCGAATTGGATAAGCACGCCCTTTCCTCCAAGATTCCGAGAGGGGAGGGAAATATTGGCGATAGGCGACGTAGGCACAGATAATTCCCAAAAACGAGCCGAATAGCACGTCGAAGGGATGATGTCGCGCGTCCATGATTCTTGTTGCGGCAATAAGTCCCGCTCCTAGGGTTGGGAAGAGGGCCAGGAACGTTTTCCACACCTCACCCCGGCTATCCATAAGGTGAAATTTCCCGGCAAGGTAGAGAGAGAGATAGAAGAGGCCGGCGAAAGAGGCTACATCATTGAAATTTCATGTTAATATTTATAAAAAAAAAAAAAAGTCATAAAATGACATGAACACACGGAGCATGGTGGCCCTTACAACTAGAATGTCCTGATCAGCTCTGTTAGTATAATATTGAAGTAAGAAAGGGAAAAAAAAAAAGGCTAGGCCGCTTACCTGAAGGAAAAGACCTATACCCATCTTTCAAAATATCGTGACTCAGTTGTGAATCACACATATCATAGGTCACCAAGTCGTACGGGCCGAGCTTATCGACCCCTTTTGGCCTACAACGATCAATAATGTCCGGCCGCGGTTTCCCAACGGCATTCTTCAAAGCAGCCGTGATGACAAAAGCACTGGCCTGAGCTAATAATAAGCCCAGAAATCCACAATTAAATTCCCATAGCCTGTCTTTTAGGCTGTATGGGCCCATAAACTTTCTCTTGCCCGAAGGCGTTATTGGTTTATTGTGTGAGAAGAGACCGTCGATGACGACGGTGTAGATGAGGATGACGACGAGCGGGATGCCTCCGGAGAGGGCGAGAGCGAGGGGTATGGATACTCGTTCGTTGACGGCATAGCGGTAGTACAGGGAGTGGTTGGTGATGGCAAAAGGTTGGTGGAAGGGTTCGACACGGTCCAGAATGTAGAATCCGGCGACAAGGCCTCTAGAGTGCGGAATGGGATTTTGATTAGGGGCTACCCCAAACAAAGGAGGAGGTCGCATGTCCATGCGCTACTTTCCTGTCCAACACAAAATACACAAAAATACACGGGGATATAACACGTACATGAGGATCACATAGTCGGATATGTATCTGGGAGGAGATTAGCCAAATCACCCCTTCGCTATGCTTATTTATTTCGTTTCTTTGTTGATCTACGGAGGCAGAGACATGGAATGGATCGCAGTCACTCACGATATTATGATTCGGATTCTGAGAGGTTTATTCGAGAATGTGAGGCTGTTGGAATGGGAGTTATCCATGGCGGTGGGCTAATTCGAAAAAAAGAGAAGAGGCAAGGAAAGGTAAATGGCAAGCGAAACAACGACGGACGATGAAACGACAAAGGACGAGAGGAATCAACGAGAGCACCCCAACTGCATGATGATGGGATCCAGGACGGGGTAGGAGGACAGTAATGTGTCCGAAGGGGGAATCTGGCGGTCTGAGGATGAGATGAGGATGAGATGAGGGAGAGAAATCGACAACAGACAGAAGTTGGAGTCGGTCTTAACGAAAGCCCCAGCCACAACGGTCGAGCTCAGCTAACATTTGGCGTCTGTCACAGGTCAGCTACGGGGTACGGAGTAGTCTTCTTATTTTTGTTCCCAACCGCCGATAGGGCCGGATATGTCCTCTGTCCGTTCCTCACTGATGGCGAAGGATTGAATGCGCTGTTGGATTGTAGGTTGTGGGTTGTGGGTTGCGGGTTGAGGCTCAGTGCTCGATTTAAACACAAGATAGCAATAAATACTGACATACAAATAAATATTCCTCAACCAGGACTCACAGCACCCAGATAAAACAGATCCGATCTGAACGAGACTAGATTTACACCCTTTGCCGCCCCGGCATTTAGCTCCAGGGCTGAAGATGACAAGCAATAGTTAAATAAACCACCCACCCCAGGCGAGAGTCTGGCCCAAAATCCACAATTCGCACCATAATTATTTCCTACGCCAGGCGATGTTTCAGAATTGAATTTCCACACTCCTGATTAATTTTTAAACTTTTTATTTTTTAATGGTTAATAAGTTGATTCAAGCATCCCCCTAAGAGACCACCTGTCTGTCGGTTCCCAAGAAGTTTCTCCGTTCCAGCGGAAACGATTTCACACACAACACTACGGAGTACACTGCCCTCCTCCTCCTCCATTGATTCGCCGTTTTTTCCCGGAGTCCGGCCGCGTAAGCCCCCGCCCGGTTGTCTCATGTTACACTGATATTGGCCGTGGGGCGATCGACAGTTGTTCTATTATTTATTTATTCTGATGCTGTTTGGTGTGTGGGCTTTGACACTCCTTTTATCTAGTAGTGGTTATACGGGTCCTGCGTGGCGTTATAACTATATTTAACCTCATCAGCAGGCCCAACTTAACTTATAAGTTAGTAAGTTAATGTACCCCGTGTCTCTCTATATATCTAACTACCTAGCCGGAACTAGCAATATATATATATATATTTTTTTGTTTCTTTTTGTTACCATCGGATGCCCGATTATCATATTTGAAGATGGCTAGAGTGAAGATTTTGTAGAAAACGCCCCTTTTATTTTAAACATAAACGGTTATTAACTAAGATAACAAACTCATTTAGGAGGCCCCCTTTCTCGTCTCCCCCCCTCCTGCTACTATCCCATTTCTACCACACATTACGCCTAGACGAACAAGGAGTCACGCGCAGTGTTAAAAAGTTAAGATTCGATGAAAACAATAAATAAATAGAACAATAGAGAAGAGACGGAAACGAAACGGAAGAGGAAAGAATGGTGCTGACCCAAGGGTCGGTTGCTTCGGCTTTCCCCAAATTCCCTCCCGGCGAATAAAAGCGTATAGCATCCGGGCCCCCTTATCTTTGAAGACCTCGACGCTCAACATATAGTGATGTAAAGGCCAATTCTAGAGACGTAAATGTTCCAATTAGCCCATCACTTCCATACTAAAGATAAATATTATAAACTGAAGTGAAAAGAAATAGAAAGAAAACTCACGCAGGCGGATTATAATCCTGAAAATACTTCAGGTAAGTCGTACCCCAATTATCCATGCGGAACGCAATCGCCTGGCCAGCAGGGCACTCAAAGCTAGTCAGAAGGTACTGCGACCTGGGAACCAGGGTCACATACGGCAGCTGCTCCTGTATCGGCGGTGAATTCGCATAGATCGTATAAAGCGCCGCGGGCGCCGCCAACCGACTAAAGCCCACCCGCCCATCGCCGCTGAAGGAGTAGTTGTCTAGCTTGGGGAACAGGAACCAGAGGCTGCAGGTTCTGCCCTGGCTGCTGGGGGAAAAATCGAAGTTGAAGATGCTGGATATTGTGGACGTGACCTGGCCGAAGAAGGAGGTGCCTGGTGCGTAGGTTGGGGCTGCGGAGTCGACGGGGATGATTAGGTGGGGGAATTCGAAGCTGCCGTTCAGGTAGCTAGAGCAGGATTTATAATTCTGGCCGGTGGCGCTGAGGATTAGGAGGGAGAGGGCGTAGATGGGCTTCATGGTGGTAGGAAAGGTGGGTTGATTAACCAGGTACAGTACACAGTACCTTCTGAGGTCTACGGACGTCGAGATGTAAAAAATGTCCCGTATAAAAATTCCGTGGCACAGTCGACCAGACTGATCAATGGTGGTTTGAAGAAGAGCAGGGACGAGTTCTCAATTTATGGATTCGGGTTGTCCCGGTCACTGAGGCAAAGGGGAGAAGAAGCTCCAAGAAAAGCTCTCAGAACAGGTATTCCACTGGACACCTTGGGATACTGGACTCTGCTTGCTCTGCGGTAGAAGATTTGGTGACAGGTGCCAACGGCATCGGGGAAGCTGAGTTGGCACCCGCTTCGGGACGGAGAGCATGATGAGAAGCTTATGTATAAGGTATTTGACTGTCGGTTCTGGCTTCATGGCAGCACACGATGTAAAAGAGAAATGCATTAACATGGATACAGAAAGGAAGGAATGTTTGCTTGATATGGCAAAAAGCTGTCATACTCCAGGACAGACAACGTTTGCTCTGCATAGAAGTTTAAGTTTCTTGCTGCAGAGATACATAGTTCAATGCTTTTGAAGTATGCGGACATATGGCAATGAGGATTCTAGAACTGAATCACATTCTCAATCTGAGTTTTTCCTGGATGATAAATGCTCAACGCACACTTAAGTTATGTTATTTGAGCCAACCGCTGGACATATAGAAGAGTAGGTTTTATGAGCTGCGCATGAAAGCTCTCATTTGGTAATGCCAAAAGCAAATGAATGGCTGAGGACAGTGAGACACCATCAATTCTCATTCTTGAATAGTGAGATAGAAAGAGGCCGCAGCGGGCTCTCTCAAGTCCTATCTAACGATAACGGACAACGGAAAGATGCAGTAGAAGACTTCCTGTTGGTGTCAACAGTCGAATAATCAATCACATGGAAGGGATGCGGCATGACAGCCAGCCGCGTCTCATCAGAGAGATTGTTTGGAAATGGAAAAAAGAAGAAAAAAGAAAAGAACAGAGGTAAAGGATTCCCGGAACATTGCCGCGGGAAGACGTTCAAGAAGAAGGGTTGCACTGCATGAGGATGGCAAATAAAAAACCCATCGCCCGGCCAATGTAATCCATAGCTAAGTAAGCCACAAGGGATGAGGATCAACGGCAAAAGCCACTCTCTCTGAGATATCAACAGATTATTCATTGAAATCGAAGAGAAAGTTGTGAGTTATATACCCAATGTGTTGAGTGTTGGTTAGAGCCCGTTACAAGTTGAACTTGGTGCCAACTCGGGCCGGAAAAACAGCTCGGTGTGGTTCTTTGAATTTTCATATTTTGTGAGGCTCTAGCTCATTATAAGCTCATTCTAATACTAATTCCAGGTTTTAACCCTCTAATCTACATCACTACACCAAGAAACTTAGGACAGTCCAACTTCTTTGGGCCCTTGACATTGGACGATGCCAGGTGCGATGTGTCAGCAAGCCAGCTCTGGCCCAGCACTTGAGATAGCTTTCTGCGCTCCAAACTCGGCCCCCAGGGCATGCTGTCAAGACAGTTGCCCATCTACTGCGTATACGAGCTGCACCCATGCACTCCTCAATTCATGATTAAGTGAGCAGCGCCGTCGTCCTCGTACAATTATGTAACTACAGGGGCCCAGACTCAGGCTCTCTCCCCCGCGCCTGAAGAATCCCAGCAACGAAGCCGCCACTCTTGCCAGGGCCGTTTTCCCCACCTTTTCGTATATCGAACATTTAACCCACTACATTTAGAGCTGTGGAATATTACTATATAAGTAGATAATATTTCTTCCTTTACGCCCATCAATTATATGTACTGTATATACATACTATAGGATAAATAAAGCTTACCTGACACGTCCGAATCGCTAAATATTTCCAATATCAAGTTATCACATCGTCAGCACCCACCATAATTTCCCCCGCCATGGATCTCATGATATGCTCGATGTGCGGTGCTCAGCACGACACTCGCTCTGCCAAATCGTGCAAGGTATGCGATGATCCACGCCAATACATCCCGCCAGAAGGGTAAGATCCATCTCCTTCCTTACAAGAATTGTGATACCTACCCCTAAACTACATCAATCATGCGTAGTTAGTTACCTATGGACAGTCTGGGGTATGGCAAGACAAAAAGGATATAATAAATAAAATAATAGGTAACATATCATAACTGACACCGAGGCCAAACCATCCAGACAATCATGGACAACGCTCCGCCAGCTGCAACAATCCAAAAAATACCACAATGAATTCCGCATGGACAAGAACCACTCCGGCCTCATCAGCATCTACACCGTGCCGCAGGTAGCCATTGGCCAACGTGCCCTCCTCTGCTGCACATCCGCCGGTAACGTGCTCTGGGACTGCCTCACATACATCGACGACGAGACCGTCAGCTACATCAACGACCTGGGTGGCCTCAACGCAATCGTCATCTCGCATCCGCACTACTACTCTACCGTCGTCCATTGGGCGGAGGCATTCCAATGTCCCGTTTACATCTCCGTTGAGGACGAGGAGTGGCTGATGCGCCGGGCGCCCGTGACCAGCACGATTTCCGCGGCGCAGAGCAAAACAGGCCACGAGAAGATTACTGGTATTTTGTTGTGGGAGGGCAAGGAGCTGAATCTACTCGGGGGTGCGGTTACGGCTGTGAAAGTGGCCGGCCATTTTCCGGGGAGCTCTGTGCTCCTGTGGAAGGAGACGAGGAAGCTGCTTGTAGCAGATAGCATCATGGTGGTACCCAGCGGGGTGTACCATACTGACCGCCTGCCGGGCACCACCTCGTTCACGTTCATGTGGTCGTATCCGAATTCTGTGAGTTTGTTTTCTATTTATTTCGGCTCTCCCCACAATAAAAAGCTCCCCTGGAAGCGGAATCCTGCTTTTCTCCCGTTTTGTTGTATCACGTTGCCTACTGCTCGCGACTATAAACAAGCCCAAACAAATCTTCAATCATAATTCGCAGCCGCTAATAGATTGGTACCTCACTTGCTTGTTTTCCTTTTTTTGCCGTATGAACAGATTCCACTCCCTCCAGATGATGTACATGCAATCTGGAAAGCGGTCCAACACCTTGACTTCGATGACACCCACGGAGCATTCTGGGGACGTGATACCATCGGCCAGAGCAAGAAGAGGCTTTTGGAAAGTGCGCAGATATATATCAAGTTCGCGGGATACGCGGATCATGCGATTCATCAGGAGAAGATCAAAGGGTAGTTTTGAGTGATGGCATGTGTGCTCCAGGTTGTGTATATAGGAATTATTACTGTAGATATATTGTCAGTGTCATTTGGGGGTTGAAATGAGCATAGGGTATGGCGGTATCTAATGGTATCTATGGATGGTACTGGCTGGTAGTTTTTATGATGAAATGAAACAGTACTCATGGGTTATCTTGTTTCTCGGATGTGCAAGAACTAAATATGATTTGAGATGACTTGTAAAATATATTCGCCAAGCAAACTTCTATTGAACGGTGAGTTACAGAGAGCAGAAAAGGATAAATGCGACACGATATGTATATATATGTTACTGTACTAATGCAAAAGTATCCACGCCCCCCACCAATATTCTACTTATCTATGTACCCCCTTTCTGTGGAAGGTGTAAAGCTTGTGTGATTGAAAGGTTGCTAGCTTTGTGGGAAGTTATATGGAAGGATTAGTAAGCCAGATCACGTGACCTGACACCCCCACTCACCAGAGTAACTATACACGATGCTATATACAAAATTCGCCTTCAAATCAAGTACAGGTACAAAAAATGACTGGAAAATGTGAAGTAATGAAAACCAGTCATGATATACATCATTTTTTATCCCCCTATTCCTTCATCTTCATAATCTCCTTCCAACGCGTATATTTCAAACAGTTGACCTCTTTAACACAGGCCTTGTAATAATACTTCCATTCCATGGAAGCTTTGGCGCGCGTGAGGTTTTTCGGGATCGGAAGTGCAGCAATCTCGGGATCAGTGGGTAGGTCTTCAAGACTGTCCCTCACTGAAGATTCCCCCACTGTTGATTCCCCCACTATAGTGATATCCCTTGTAGATGTCGGAGGGTCATCAGATTCAACTGTGGGTTCTGGAGAGTTCAGTGTATTCTGCACTAAAAGGGTAGGTATTCTCGCGGAGATATCATAGTCAATCCACCAATTATTAGTGGGTATGAGAAATAATGGACACTCAGGTCGAATTTCCTCATCAATGAATAGATTATCAATTGATGAATCAGGAATCGCTGCAGTCTCTTTATGAGCTGCAGTCAGTAGACCTGGTGTTGCTGAAGGAATCACCGCAGCCGCTTTGCAGGCTGCATTGAGTAGGACCTTCAGATTGTGTGTTGTAGCTGTTGTAGCTGTTGAGGTGATGACAGAATGATTGTTGACATTCTGTGATCAATCTGTAGAGAATCTCTGTTGACAGAGTTTTTCCAGTTGTAGTTCGAGTTCTAGGACTCTTTGCTTCCCCTTGTCCATCTCAAGTATCATCTTGAGATGCTTCATCTGTTGATCTGATATTGCCTTGGCCGAACAGTAGACACCTGAGTGTCCATTATTCTCATCAAGAGAACCAGCTTCATCAAGCTGTTGAGTAGATCAGGGGGCCGGCCTGACCGTGTCAGGAGCTGTATTCAAACCAGCTTCAAATTGAGAGGGTGTTTTGACAATGGAGCTTTCAAAGGCTCCAGGAGGATGTTTATCAGTGGAACTTTCAAAGGCTTCAGGAGGATGTCCACTGGCAGAGTGTGAGTGTGAAGAATCATCATCATCAACTGCAACTGATTCAGTGGAAAGAATGCGAGATCGCGAACATGTATGTGGGCGGGATTGTATTGAATCCGCCATCTTGATATTCATTTATTGAATTCTCGATATTCGTTTATTGAATCCTTGCCAATATCATTCTCTTTTTCTTGCTTTTTTGCAAATGTGGTGTGTTTTCTGCAAGCCTCTTTTTTTTAAGTGAGCAGTAGTATTATTGATCATCAAGATCTCAAATGCATCAATACTGATAGAATAAGATGATTTTAACTTCTGATGAGCGTATCGAATGAAGCAGTAGTTCAAATAATGATTATATTGACAAGGAATCCCGAATTGGCAGTGATTTTGCGCAAAATGAGTCTCATAACCTGTGAAAGGTGTAAAGCTTGTGTGATTGAAAGGTTGCTAGCTTTGTGGGAAGTTATATGGTGGAAGGATTAGTAAGCCAGATCACGTGACCTGGCACTTTCAGTGTTATGATTGTCTATTTTCACAATTTACTATGCCACAATGCATTATTTTGCATGAAATTTCTGTGAATAGATCAAGAAAGAAGTTGACTCCTCATGAGCACAGTAAAATTATTGTATATTATCATTCTGAATAAGATTATCAGTGGATTTCTGCCTATCTTGAGATTTCAAAAATCCTAGCAACGATCTACGGCTAGATAACCCGACCGGGGTTCATGACATTATTTTCAATCACTCTTTTCAGATCAACGATGCATCTCAACCACACTCCGAAAGACTTTTAAAACTATGTGTCTGTGATCACAGAGTTCTATCCAACTATATTCAAGCTGAATCTAAGATTATCTATCAAACTCTGCTTCAAAATACTGTATTAAACATTTCTTATAACACTATATATCACAAGCTCAAGAAAGTCAGCATTATCAATCACTCTGCTAAAGAAAGATCATTCTTACTGTTCAGACATGCAGAGAAACAACTGATATGAGTCATGACTTATGATTAGAAGAAATTGAATATCTGAGCAGTGAGATAAGATTATTTGATCTGATGAAAATACTGTGAAACAGAATAAAAAAGAACAGTGATAGTGAGACTTGTGTATCTTCACTCAGAAGTGAGATCTTGATAAAATAATAATACTACTGTAATAATATGAAGTGCTTTTTATGAATTCTGACACTCACAGCTGATCAGAGTCAGAGAGAATTCTACTGCTCATTGTGAAGATGCAACTATCTGATTCTATATACAACTACTTGATCAAAATCTCTTGAAATTCTATGAGAAAGATCTCATATTCATGCAGAATAGTGCTTCTATTCACACAGTATGAGTTGTTTGCAATTAATTACTAGAAAAATTGATAAAACAGCTTTCATAATCTTTCTATTCTTCAGATTTGAATCTCATTGAATATGTATGAAAGAAGATGAAAGAATTGATATATATTAGGCATTTATACCTTCTAAATCTATCTCACAATTCTGAAGCCATCAAAGATGCACTATTTGAGGCCATTAAAGAGTCATGGAAGGTGATATCAGAGGAATTTTATAGATAATCATTATTTTTATTTCTAACTTTTATACGTACAAGTACTCAATATTCTCTATAATATGTATGAATTTTAATGTATATAGACCTCTGGTTGTTGAGATAATTAATAATTAATAACCTCTCACTACTTGGATAGATGTAGATTTTGGTGGGGGGTGCGGATACTTTTGCCGAGCGACTAGTCGTACATGAAATAAACCGGTCCACCGCCAGCAGCAACTGCTTTTCCATCGACTTGAGACCGAAAGTTAATTTGTATCAACACAACATTCAGTCTAGATAGCTCCTCCCGTAAGCTCCTCCGCAATCTTCTTCACTCGCTTCTCCCCAAGACTCCAAATGGTAGTGTCGGTCTTGCCAGCATGCACCAGGGACTCAACCGTGGATGGCAGACCCAAGTTCCAGATATTCTCTCCAATATCCTCATCATTGGTCCATGCAGGGTTCTCACCGTCAGGGAACACCCGCTCAATCTCCGCATTCAATTGCTCCTCGTTGATGATAAATGTCCTGGCGTTCATGTAAAGCGAATGGAGGTGGTCTGATCTCTGCTGCTTCTTGCTGTGCTGCTTCGCAGCTTGTTTCCTGCGGGAGGTCTTGAGGCGTTGCTCCGCGTTGGGATCGGGGAGAATGGCCATTTTGTTAGGTTTCATCACTTGGAGAGTCGATTGTTGCATCAGCCGGTCATCTTCCCGCGGGCCCTGTGCGAGGATTAGGTCCCGTTGGGCTATTTTGGCGCTGCTTCGTTTTGCTCTGAGTTCGTCACTCATCTGCTTGCGGGCGTACAGCTCGGTTAAACCCTCACGCAGATTTTTGCGGCGGATAACCGCCATCCTCTTCTTCCATTCCACGTAGTCGAATTGGGGGTCTCCAGGCTGGAGTTTTGGCTCGTTACTTGATGGCTCGGGAGTGGCGGCCTCAGCGTAGGCCTGTGTTGGCTTGTCTGGTCTGCGGGGCGGGAATAGCTCACGGGGCACAGGGAGAACACCCTTTACGGGAGCTTTATGGGGATGGAAAGGCTGTATCGGACGGGGGGTCTCGATGAAATTTGGCGACTCGGGCCCAACCCTTGGGCTTGGAGTTGAACTGAAGGCCCGGAAATGTATTGTGGTAGTTCTGTAGGCGCGGTAGAGTGACATGGCGGCCGACTTTGCGGGGCCGGCCATCGTGGGCACTGGGCGAATTGAGGAAATGAGGTGTGTAGTTTATCCCACCTTCCCCTTCAGACAGTCATATAGTACGATAGGAAGACGGGTTTGCTCTGGGAGGTTCGAATGGTGTGATATCGTTGTCGCAAAAAGGACAAAAGATTTGATTCCGAAGCGATTTTTGATTGGTCCGTGCACTGAAGGTCTTGGCACACTCTTGCCCAACTTAAAGGGAAAAAGAAAAAAACTTCGAATAATTATTTTCTCCTCTTCTGTTGTTGAAATTCTCTCCAGCCAACAACATAACTTTACAGCCAACCACCCAGAAGTACCCAGATACCCTAGGCTGAGTGGTGGCATTCGATTTTTACATAATCCTTCTTCACTATGGGTACAGCCAAGAAGGAAGCTGCCCGCCGGGAGCGGCAGGGCAAGACTGGAGATGGCATGGGCAATGTGAAGACCAAGGGTGAAAACTTCTATCGGTAATCAACTGCCATATCTTCTGTCTGCGGAATGTGATAAGACGTGTACTGATATCCATACAGAAGTGCTAAGAAGGTCAAGACCCTCAATATGTTCAAGGGGGGTAAAGCACAACGAAATGCCCAGGGTGAAATCACCAAAGCTGCATCCTACCAATCCCGCGAGATTCCAAACGCCCGGATAGAACCTAACAGAAAATGGTTTGGCAATACAAGAGTTATCTCACAGGAAGCTTTGAGTTCGTTTCGAGAAGCAGTCGCTAAGCGTGCCTCGGATCCATATCAAGTTCTGCTCAAAACAAATAAGCTGCCAATGAGCTTGATCCGCGATGGATCAGATACTAATGGGCTCAAGGAGCACAAGGCTAAGATTGCTGTTGAAACAGTACCTTTCAGCGACACATTCGGGCCCAAGGCACAGAGAAAACGAGTCAAGCTCAGCGTTGGGACACTCGAAGATCTTGCGGGCGAGTCGGTCAAGATGCACGAGACCTACATTGAACGGCTGGATCAGGCAAAATTATTGAGCGGGACATCGGGTGAAACTGCTGAAAACGACCATGCCGCTGATGATGGGCAGCTCACATCGGCGAGAGAGCCTGTTTTCTCTAAGGGTCAGAGTAAGCGGATCTGGAACGAGCTGTACAAGGTCATCGACTCGTCCGATGTTGTCATTCATGTGCTTGATGCTCGAGATCCTGAGGGTACACGGTGCAGAAGCATCGAAAAGTACATTCGTGAGGAAGCACCACACAAGCATTTGATTTTCGTTCTGAACAAGTGTGATCTGGTACCAACCGGCGTTGCTGTAAGTTAATAAAACATAGCACCTCCCTCTTGATCTTTCATTGTCTCGTGACATGCCATTGCTAAGTCAAGGCTTCTTCCCGTGCATATTTTCTTGCCACCTCTCTATGGAAGTATTTTGTCTGTTACAGCTTTGGTAGATGAATTCTAGCCCGCCGCCTTGGTTTCTTTCTGAAATTGGGGTTGACAAGCGATCGTTTTGAGAGCTCTGTCGTATAGGGCTTGCTGTGTCTTGTTTTGAGTTGAGTCCTGCTTCCACTTCATTTTTGTGGCACCATAGCAGTTCTCTTAGTAACATCTCACACATTGATGTTTAACATGGGTCACTTCTCTTGTTGTGAAGCCATTTTTATGGGATCATTAAACTGATTTTTGATTCTAGGCTGCTTGGGTTCGTGCATTATCGAAAGACCATCCCACATTGGCCTTCCATGCTTCCATCAACAACTCATTTGGCAAAGGCTCTTTAATCCAGCTTCTACGCCAATTTTCATCGCTACATTCGGACCGTAAACAGATATCGGTAGGATTTATTGGATATCCGAACACCGGAAAATCGTCCATTATCAACACCCTCCGAAAGAAGAAGGTTTGCACTGTTGCTCCCATTCCCGGTGAAACAAAAGTGTGGCAGTACATCACGTTGATGAAGAGAATCTATTTGATTGACTGCCCTGGTGTCGTCCCACCGAGCAACCACGATACCGAAGAGGACATCCTGCTGCGAGGCGTGGTGCGCGTAGAGAATGTCGAAAACCCAGAACAATATATTCCTGGAGTTCTCAAACGAGTTCAGTCACGCCATATTGAACGGACCTATGAGATCAAGAATTATAAGGACTCAATCGACTTTCTAAGTATCCTGGCCAGAAAGGGAGGCAGGTTGCTCAGAGGCGGCGAACCTGATGTCGATGGAGTCGCTAAGATGGTTATTAATGACTTTCTACGTGGGAAGATCCCGTGGTATACTCCACCGCCCCATTCTGCTGATGCCGATGCAGACGGAAAGATTGACGGGCGTGAGGGACGACTTGGTGAGATGGGCCGCAAACGGAAGCGGGATGACTCCGAAACTGGCACTTCGGTTGCACCATCTGATGATGCGGCATCGGAGCTGAGTGAATCTGACATGGATGATGAGCCGTTTGAGGGATTTAGTGAAGGTGATGATGGTTCAGCTAGCGAGGAGGAAGCAGATAAGGCCGATGAAGATGGCCCTCCTGCCAAGTGACGGCACGAACAAGCTCACAGGATGCATATCATTCTCCATCGCGAAAGCAAAGTTCGCTGTTAGAAGTGGTATCATTCCAGCTCGCTCTTTTGTATAGCGTCCGATAATTTTTGTCATATCGACCAACAATCAGCCAGCAAGAGTCGCCAGACTAAGTTCCACCATTCAATGACATCCCCAGCGCGCTTCAGCAGGTAAATGAGATCTGCCGCCCACGCTTTCGATTCGTGTGCTGGGGCATCGCCGCGCCGTTGGCCGAACAACATACAACTGAATAAAATCTAATTTGGTTTGGCCCCAGGGCGAGGAAGGCTTAAGTCGATCCAATTATTTGATACCCCCCATAAAGGCAGGATTCGCTACAGCTCCGCTGGGAATGCAGCCTCGTTTTGTGTGACGCCTCATTTTCTATTAGGAGCAAATTTATAAGAGGTTTAAAAATAGCCAAGAAAAATGCAATGCCCTCCCGGCTATGGTTTTGCTCTAGTCGTGTGATATCATATTTGGGGTAGAAAGGAGCATCTGTCGTTCTCTTAGACAATATCGATACTGCGATCCGCCTACCAGGGTTAAACAGCTCCGTAGATATCGCCATCTGAACCTTCTTTTTGATCCTGTGTAGCATTCTTGATATTCCCTGCCGAACTCCCAATGCTGAATAAAGGTCACGTGAGAGGCAAAACTATCCATGGATAAGAGTGGAAAATTGTTTGTTGGAGCTCGACGGTACGGAGTACAGCATCGGACACTTCACTCGATGCAGGCGGAGAAGAAGCAGTCAAAGACAAAATTGGCTCAATTTATAAATAAAAATGCAATTAACTTCTTCGTCTTTCTCTCGCCAGCTTCGAGGTCGCCAGCCTACTGCACATAATGGCTGATGCTAACACACAAAGGACCATGTCTATCGTCCCTTATGGGACGACTCGCGACGTTGTTCTGTAAGGAAGAGCTTCATCTCATTAATATTTTGAAAGATATTATCCCTTAAAAAAAAGTCTTCTGTAATGTTTGGCCTCTCTGCTGATATGATCTTTCAGTCGACATGATGATTCCGTGGTGGTTTTCGACCACGCTTCGCGGTCCCTTGTCCTCCGGCACGCACCCCCGGACGCCGACGTAGAGCTGGCAGACTGTCCTTATTGTCATCGTCCAATACGGGATTCTCAGGATGCCACTCGAGATTCCAATCGCGGACCCAATTCCACAGCTCAGCCAGGATTCGTGAACCCTGACTACTTCCGAATGCTAGACTCTAGCTTGCCCAGTTCTCTCAATGCATCCAGGCCGCCCTCCCCTCGACGACGATTAGTTCAGCCAGCACAGCCGGAAACTTCGTCTTCTGCCGCTGATAATGGGACTGCACCCCCGTTTGCAAATAAAATATCGTCCGCGGCCTTTAGCCCGAACTATTTCAAGCGCTTCTTTGTCGAGGAGCGAGAACTTGGGAGAGGAGGAAAGGGGGTAGTTTTGCTGGTTAAACATGTTCTGGATGGCGTTTCGTTGGGATACTATGCTTGTAAACGTGTCCCAGTTGGAGATGATCATGAGTGGCTGAAGAAGGTTCTGGTTGAGGTGCAATTACTTCAACATCTTTCACACCAGAACTTGGTCTCGTACCGACATGTATGGTTAGAGGACGTAAAGCTCAGCAATTTTGGGCCGAGCATTCCTTGTGCCTTTATTCTGCAGCAATACTGCAATGCCGGAGATCTCCATCAGTACATATGCGGCCCGAAACAGCCTACCACCACAGCCCAGCAATTGAAGGAGCGGCTAAGGCGAAGATCAAAGGGCCAGCCGGAGCCTCCTTCTGGCGCAGCAGGCTTCCGAAAACTCCAGTTTGATGAAATATACTCACTCTTCAAAGATATAACTTCCGGCCTACTCTTTCTTCACAACAATGGCTTTATTCACCGCGATCTTAAACCTAACAACTGCCTGCTACATGACACAGGACAGGAACTAAGAGCCCTTGTGAGTGACTTTGGTGAGGTACAATATGAGCACGCTGTTCGCAGTTCTACTGGAAATACAGGGACGATTTCATACTGTGCGCCTGAGGTTCTACGACGTCTGGATCCCGAAGGACCATTTGGAAATTTCACGTTCAAGTCTGATATCTTTTCGCTCGGCATGATCCTCTACTTCCTCTGCTTTGCTCAACTCCCGTACCGCAACGCCGATATCATCGACGAAGATAAGGAGGATCTCGACAAACTGCGCGCCGAGATTAGCCAGTGGTCAGGTTTCGATGACGCCCGACGGATGAGACTAGACCTACCCGAGAAACTCTATTCATTTCTAAAAAGGCTCTTGTCCGTTGACCCGGACAAGCGACCTACCGCGGAAGAAGTCCTCAAGGGGATCCAGGCGGGTGTTGCAGGTGCTAATACCGAAGGTCGTCGCTTCCACAGTCTCAGAAACAATGGAACATCGGCTGCTGACATTCGTTCAGGCCCTCGCGTTTTGGCGGAGACCTCTCCCAACCAATCCGCAACCTCCCATAGCCCAAGGAGCCCAGGTAGGAACTTGTCTTCCAATGCAACGGGATTTCCTGGTGGGGTTCCTGTCCTCCAATCCCCCGCCTTTCGGTCGGATGGTACAGAACATGCAACCAGCTTGCCAAGGGAGCGGCATCGATCTCAGAGCGCGGATCATGGTCTAGTCCTTCGGGCGGCAACTGTATCCCCCTCCCACCGTGCCAGCCAGACACAACAGCAGCAGCGTAATAATGGCGATAATACTAGCCACACACGTGTCTCCTCGCGGCACCTCCTCCTTCCGCCTCCCAACGAACCAAACCGGGCTTCAATTTTCACCTCCGCTACTCTCTACCACACCATAGAGAAGATCATCAGCTTCTCCCTACTTATCGCTAAACTCCTATCCATCACACAACCATGTTCGCCGCTGGCGGTTAATCCATGGATCTTATACCCCCTTGTTTCCCTGGCTGCGTTGGATTTAGCTGTGAAGAATCCGTTGGTGCATGCCGCTGCGTTTGTTTTCCATGTTGCTGTTGTGGTGTGGGCTGTAAGGTCAGACGTGCTATGTCTGTGGGTGCCGGAAACGTCTGGGACTATTCATGGGATATAAACCCAGCTGTTATAATATATATTATATGATGAAACCAGATAAATCTGGATTGTTTTTCCAAGGCAGAGAGATGATTATGATTACGAATGAAGATTTTTTCTGTTGATGGTTATTTACTGTGGAATCTACTGACGAGAAGAGACTAAAGTTATAACTAGCCTTTTTATTTGAGAAATGATTCCCATTTTATTTTATTTTATTTTATTTTATTTTATTGGGAATTAGAAATTACACGGCTGCTGCACGCATTCTACATTTACATGTGCCCAGACCCTAGCCTTGAACACGAGAGGATCCCCATGATGAACATTGAAAGAATCCTAGCTCCCGTAACCATACCCCTACACCCGCATCCTATGTATGAATCATAGCACATCTACAGAAAAATTCAAAAGCAGAATCAACGAAAGAAAAAATGTAGTGGGTGAAACGAAACCGCAATATAGATCCCACTGAGCCCCTTACCCGGCCTACTTTCCATTTATCCTTCACCCCCTCCTCCCCTTGCCGGAAGACATGAAGAGAAAGGGGTAAAGAATGAGTAGAAAGCCTGGCGGACTGCAAAAGGAGGGACGCAGTCAGAGAGCCCACTTTTTCTTGTGTTTCATTTAATCTTGGAACCACAATAGCGTCTTTTATTAGGTCTAACATTGTAGGGTGTTGTATTCTCAAAATGATTGGAATACAGCAAAGTCAGACCAGGTTAGGGAAAAAGAATACTCGTTCGGTTTAGGAACGATTCACTTCCTCCCCATGACGGTTCCGTGTTGACGGGAAATGTCTCGTGTTGTTCATTTTGCAAAGGGCTGATGCGAGAGGAGGGCGAAGGACACAAAACAAATGGAAACTGTACAGTTATACGTATTTATTTATTTCTTCCTTCATTTTCGTCGTCACACGCGCTCATCAGTCGTAAATATACAGAGCTACTTACTTCACCCGTGCCGCCATAAACCGACTAAGCCTTTTGGGCGGCTGGCCGTCCTCATCTAGTGGAATGATTCCATCGTTCTCCTCACCATCGCGCAAGAACCCGCCTTCTTGATGAACCTTGCGGTTCCGAAATTTGTAAAATTCGGTGGCTATTTCTTGCTTATGGAGACTCTCGTCTAATTCATCTGGATCGGGCGGTGTTGCGTTCTCATGGGATACAGTCCGCTCCACTAGCTTATCCGCCAAAGCTTTTGGTGGCTGGTCTGGGTCAACGATCGGCTGAGAAAATGGCTTGGGTTGTGAAGGCTTTGCGGGAAATAGTGGTAGTGGTGGAGCATTGGTAGAGGGAGCTGATGGGCGAGTTGCGGATCCTGGCATGGCGGAAGTAGATGCTATGCTAGTTGGTTCAGAGGCATTTCTTGCACTCCTGAACCGGGACGCTTTCTTCGGCGCCGTAGTCCCCTTCGTGTCATCTACCTTTTCTGCTTGCGCTCGTTCTACAATAGCGTCTTGAACGACTGGAACGGAGGGTGACTCAACACGGTGCTCCTTAATAGGTGCTGGAGGTGTGAGCGCAGCTGGATCCGGTGCAAGGTCTAGCGCATCCGCAAATGCAACTTTCTTCTTTTTCTTTGGGACTTTTCCGCTCCCTGTATTAGGAACAACCTTCGTAGAGGTAGGCGCATCCATCTCTTCTCGGATTTCTGGTGGAAGGGAGCTGGTATCAGGTCCAACATTTTCCAAACTCCGCGCATTCAACTTTTTCTCCAATTCCACCATCTGGCGACGATAGTCATCATCGATCATCCTTCGTGTAGACCGACCATATTCATCTTCTTCCTCGTCATCCTCGTCACTCATCACGTAATATTCATCTTCAATAGAAAATTCACTTCCTGATTCGTCCAACTCCAGTTCTGCAACAACAGCACCAACCTCCTCAAGGCTGTACTGTAACATTTCTCTTCTCAGAGCAGCATCTTCCGGGGGCTCATCTATATCTATATCGGCAGTCGCGTCATTAGTATGGGCAGTTTCGAGGACTAATGAACGGTTGTTGTTCTCGATTCCAAAGGTGTTAGCGGTAGTACCCAAACCAGCAGCAGACTCTGTAGTAGCGTCAAGTGGAGGAGTAGCCTCCGTAGCCGTTGTTGCGGTATCTGATTTTGTGTTTGAAACACCTTTAGTAGAAGGTATCTCTTCAACGCGTAGTGAAAAATCAGGACGCCTAACGGAGTCAGTGTTCTCCAGTGAAGTGTCATTTTTGCCTTCTTCGGCCAGTGATGGTTTATCATCAGTCTTCTCCTTCGAAAGATCCATGCCTGCTTTCTTCAAAGCCTCCAGAATTCCGGGTGCAGCCTGCTCAGGAGTGGTTGTAGAACTCGAAACAACGCGGTCGTCGTCATCAAGCTCCTCAACGATATCTGTAATGGGTAGGCCTTCTTCGTCGACTGCGCCAGGGTGTTGAACCGTGAGGATAGCCTCGAGCTTCCCTTCTGCAGCTGAGACGCGCTTCTCAAGCACTCCGATATTTTGCTGAACATAGTCCATCCGTCTTGATATAGCATCCACCACCTGCTCTTTTGTCCTCGTCACACCATGCTTCACGCCCAGTAGAACCTTGATCTCGTCCTCGTTGACAAGGGATCCGCCAAACTCTCTCCCGATCTTGAGAAAATCTTCATGTTCGCTGTTTTCTTCTAGTTCTGAGATGGTATTCTTCAGCTCATCGTATTCTGCATGCCACATTCGCCAGTTGTAGAGGGATTTCCTAAGCTCCAGGATGCTATCTTCGAGTTGCAGCCGCTGCCGCTCAAGACTTGCAAGGTGATCTGTCGGTTGTGCCATGGTAAAAGGGATTGAAATAACTCCTATACAGACTAAGAAGCATGTATATAGTGAGGCTGAGCTATCTATCCATCAGTGTCGTATGAACGAGATGTGTACTCCGTAGAGTGAGGAAGAATGATACTTTGTGCGCGGGAAGAATTCTCCGTGGCTGCGGCGGAAGAGGCTTCTTCCCATTGGTGGCGCCAGCCAGGACACAGCTCCATCCTGACCTCACCCATCTCAGATTAACCAACCTTCACATATTTAGACACAAACAATAAAAACAACTACAACACCACTTGTCTGGTAGCCGGGATCCTTGCCTACCAATACCAAGCAGACTATTCAGTCTGTCCTCCCTGGATTCCACTATTCGCCTGTAGCATGTCTTTCCAGTCTAACGGCACACGGAACCGCGGCGAAGAAGATGGTGAGCCTCTCCACCAGCACCTGCGCAGCCTCAACCTACGTGTACATCCAACCGGAGCTAACATGCCTGACCATGGGACTGATTCAGAGGTGTGTCCTGTGTGCAAGTCGTCACGGTACCTCAACCCGGATATGCGATTTCTTATTAACCCGGAATGCTACCATAAAATGTGCGAGTCGTGCGTGGATCGCATCTTCTCGTCAGGCCCGGCCCCATGTCCAGTTGCTGGATGCCATAAAACACTCAGGAAGAATAGGTTTCGGAAACAGACGTTTGAGGATATTGGTGTAGAGAGGGAGGTTGATATAAGAAAAAGGGTCATGCAAATGTATGCTAAGGTGGCCTACTCTGGGGATTCCCACGCGTTCTTTTATAGACACTTACGCAATCATTTAACAGATTGAACCGCCGCGAGGATGAATTCGACAGCAAGCTAGCCTACGACAACTTCCTTGAGCAGCGCGAAGACATAATAACCAATTTGGTTTCCGGCATCGATGTGGTCAAAACGGAAGCCCAACTCTCCCAATACGCCGCAGCAAACGCAAAATCCATCCGCCGTAACCAAACCCTCGAATCCCAAGAATCCGCTGCCTTCCTGAAAAACCAGTCCCTCGAACAAGAACAAATACGACTACGCCGTGAAGCAGCCCGGCAAGACTATGATAATGAAAGACGCGCCCTTCTCTCCGGACGAGAAGACATCCTCACCCGTCTCGCAACAGGCAGCGTGGAAGAAGCAGAAGCTATTGCAAAAGACGGCAGACAGAGCATGCTCAAGAAATCCTCCGCACGACGCAGCGAAGAGGACCGCCTGAAGCGCAAACAAGCAGCTCTCCTGGTCGACTCCAAACGCGCTCAGGCTCTAGCCGACGCAGCCGACAAAGGAACCGCGCCGGCCTTCGACTCCGACCTCGTCAAGGGCTTGCGGAGGATCCAGACGCCCGAGCCAGAAAAGCCATACGATCCTTTTGGTGGAATAAGGCTCGATGGCCGTGACTATTACCAGCTACAAGGCCATTACCCCTCTACGTATCTTGATCCCATCAAGGATAATGTCCAGATGCTTGCTGGGGGGTATAATTTGGGAGAGTACTATGCCCGCTCATTGCTGGAGGCATTTGCGGGGCTGGGATGTTTCATCGATGAAGAAATCGCCGCGAGAAATGCTGCGACGAATCCGTCACCGACGGGGCTCGCGGCATCAGCTGCTGCAAGCACGCCCATTCCCGTTGACGAGGAAATGTTATGACCACTACTTTGGTTTTTCTCGGCCACAGTTATTACTTTTCATGGGCATTCTGGGTCATCTTTGTGTGTTTATTCCCCACTGACCTTGTCTCTTTTCTATCTCTCTTCTTTTTTTGTTTAGCCTAGCAACATTATCACGCCATAGCGACGGAGTTCATGGAGTTCATTGGCCTTAATGGAAAAATGGGATTGGATAAACAACAAACTGGGGGGTTTTTCTTCGTTAAATATCCATGCATTAAAACAGTTAGAATTAACAGTTGGGAAGTTTTCCGTCCTTGGACCTATATCGAGTCGACTATATGCGCTGCACAATTGAATAGCACAATAATAATAACCTCTGGTCAAATCCTCAGCTATAAAGTCTCAGCGTTATCCAGAAAGTTTCAATGCAATCATAGAGCAACGGGGAGACGCTGGAAGAAAAATATTACCATTCGAATAAATCTGAAACGAAGCAATGTATAAAGCTCTCAGCCAAAAAATAAAACGTAATAATTAACCCGTAAAACATAGACAATACGCCCCCGGCCCCTTACACGAGTCGAGCCTGCATGCAACCAAAAACCCCATGTGCTAAGTGAGAAATGTACCAAGACAAAAAAGAGGAGAATAACAGAAGGCCTCAAAAAAGCTGGAGAGGAACAGTAACCTCGTTTAACCAAAACAGTAAGGGATTTCTGGCAGGCGAGGAGGTTGAAACCGAAGAGCCTTAACAATTTTCCACCAATTCTAGAAACTCAACACGAACAAATACCAACAATGCCACACGAACCGACACCGTTAGAACGAACATAACCGACCGGCCAAACCAACAGCTCTTCTCAGACACGAGAACTCAAGCGGACATACACTCAACTTGTGTGTTAAAACAAAATCAAGTCAGTCAAACGCGAATTCAATCGCATCATAAAGAGCTGGGTTCGGCCGGTGAATGACATGAAATCCACTAATCCTATACCCGGGCACATTCCCAAGTTGATTGAGTCAAAATCACAAAATTGTGAGACAAAAAGCAACAAGTCAGTCTGAAACCCAAAGCCAGGATAAAAGTGAAAAATGAGACAATTCCGTAGTTGGAGTCAGTCTGTAAGGGGAAGCGAGAGGCATCAGTATTCGTGAAGGCTTGCATCCGGCGGGAAATGATGATCGATACTCCGGATGCCACTTCTCCATCTGATCAGATCTCCCAAGAAGTTGATTCAAAACAACAAACGTATCCCAAATGGTAAGAAGCTCCGAAACCCAACAAATGCATAGAAGACCAGACGGATATATGATCAATAGAGCTCTCTCCGGCGGTCAAGTTAAGAAGAAGCCTTTCCAGCTTTCCTAGAGAAACTCCGACCGGTCACTTCACCAGTGCTCTCAAATCCTTCCCAAGGAGGTTCGTCGTAATCACTACCACTGGCGCTGTCTTGAACCCTCGTGGCTCCGTTCCCCTTGGTATCATCTCGGCGCCGACGGTCCGTATGATCACCAGCATCCTTTCCTGAGACCCGGCCAAGTCCAATGGACTGCAGAGTAACATCCACCTCTTCTTGCGTCATCTCATTGCCATCTTCCTTCTGTCCCTCTAGAACGTCGTACAGAGCATAAATCTGATCAGACTTCGTATCGATCTCCCTGAGCAGGGATTCGATAGTCTGCAGGACGAATTTTCGTTGCTTCTTGCCAATTGACGCATCATGCTTGTTCAATTTTGTCTGTTGAAGAGCAAGTTGCATTTTCAGATGTGCCAGCTCATCTTCTAGCGATTTGAGAACGGTTGCAAGAGCCACGGCAGGTGGCTGTGACGGACGCATGGTGGGTTCTTCATTGTACGGCGACGGCTCTGGCATGCGATCGGAAACAGGGATAGGTTTAGTGACCTTAATGGAGTCCGGTCCTTCTCCATTTCTATGGTCATTGATGGAATTCTTGTTCATAACGCTTTTGCAAACCGCACAGTTTTCGCCGTCATGCTGCGCAACATCATCCAAAACACGCTGGGCAGCTTCGGATAGCTTGAGTGGCTCTCCAGGTTTAGCAGTAACGCCATGCATCGTAATATCAGGTAGAATCAGCGCCGATGTCATTTCCTGGGTTCTCTTTTGTCGGCGTCTGGAGCCAGCTGTGGAGGTGGAATGGTTTGTGATATTACGCTGTGACAAGTCTCGCGTATTGCCAGTTGTTCTTTGTTCCGTGATGTTGAAGTCTGGCATTTCAACCGTCCCAGTGCGCCTGGCTCTGGATGCAGTATTCTTCAGGGATGACTTCAGTGGTGCGCTATGTGCAAAATCCCCAGATGGTCTTAGCCCGAGGTTGCTAATTTTACTTTGCTCAGTGAAGTCTCGGTTGAGGCGGGTTTTGCGGGCAACCCTTTCCTCCTCCAGTGTTTTGCGAAGCTGGGCTATCTCATTGGCCTATTTTGATTCCTGTTAGCGGGATCTCGTTGAGGTTTGACAACGGGGATCTTACGTCAATAAAGCTGAGAAATGTCAAATCATTTGCTGACCCAGGGCGATAGCGAAAACCTCTTGTTTCCGTCCTCATTTCTCCCGCCGAGAGCTCTCCATCATCCAAATGTTCAACAACAGCTTTCTTGGTGCGCTGTTTTCCGGTGTTAGGAAGCTTCCTTTCAGCGGTATTTGCTTGGGTCCTGGTATTCTTAGTGGGTTGTTGAGCAGTAAGATGGGACAAGTCTAGGGAGAATAGCGCGTCATATTCAGCCTGCTTCTGTTGCCTAGCAGCACTATCTTTCGCACTATATGGTTGCGTGCGATCTTGGTTGATTTTATCCGAGCTTTGCCGTTGAGCATCAACGTTGACATCTCGGGCTGGCTTGGTTCGATTGGTCTCTGTTGCTTCAGTTGGGTCCCTAGCGGCGATGTCTCGACGGTTTATCTTGGAATCACGAGTCTGAGTACGTCGCATACCATCTGCCACCTCGGAGTACTCAGTCAGCGATTCAAGTTGAATCCTCAGTTCGTCGTTCTCCTGTGCTAACGCCTCATTTTCCATCTTCAGTTCTTGCAAATTAAGATAAGCCACGCCCAACTGGGTCCGGGCGGAGTCACGTTCATGTGTTAAGTGTTTAAGTGTAGTTTCATGGCTGGAGATTTTGCGGGTAGAGATATCCAACCGATTCTGAAGGGCCGAATTGGCTGCTTCCAACCCTAGATAGACACTGTTAGAAATAAGGTCGGGTTGTGTGCAGATCAATATACACTCACTACTCTTTTGGATAGAAAGTTTGCCGGCTCCTCCATCGTTAACATCCTCATCACCACCATACATACTGAAGCGTCGTTTGTCTTGTTTGAGCCGACGGACATTTTCACTCTTCAAGATCATGTTCTCCTCTTCCAATTCCTCGAGCCTATGTTCCATGTCGGATTTGTTCATCTGCAAGGCTTCAACTTTCTCCTGAAGCAATTTTAACGATATAAAAATAGCCTTTTCGTCATCCGGCACGGGCATAGAGTCAAGAGGGAAATGTTCGATGCGTTGACAATTAGTAGTTGCTACAGCAGGTGGTGAAGTGAAGCGTGTCGTTCGAGATCTTCCCTTTGGAGTGCCATCCTCATAGATCCCAGAAACGAGCTCAGAGAGATTCGGTATATCAGGAAGAGCATATGACTGGTGAGTAAAATTGTCGGTATTACCATTCTTTTCGGGAATTTTCGCTGCTAGCTGCTTTCTAGGGTGTCCATGTTCTGCGTCTCCGCTATGATGCTTGAGATAACTTTTACCAGCCGCTTTGTTGACCGCATCGACGATTCTGGCGCCTTGGGCTTGAGATCGCGTGTTGCCGAAACGAGTATTTCTCGCAGTAGCTGCGACTTTTACCGGCCGTTCATCGCTAATGTATGACCCGTCGTACGTCTCACTGGCTTTAGCGTGCATCTCAGATAGCGTACGGCGCTGGCTTCCGCTTTTATTCTTCACTTCTTGAGGGAGGTTATTCTCTTTCAAGGCGAGGCTGGCGCGTCGTATCTGGGCATCTTTACGAAGGCTATCTCTTCCCGATGAACCTCGACTTGGAATTGGGCGCAGAGCAGCCCTTTGGGAAGAGTTACCGAAACGATCACCCCTAATTGCTGGCGATACAGCATATCGACTCTCGTCCACGCTCATAACCGAATCTCTCGAGTCATCTAACGGTCGGGTGGGTTTCTTTCCTCCCCGTCCAATCTCTATCGACGTGTCATCCTCATCCTCTGAGCTAGATGCGTCGGAGAACTCTGGGAAAGCTCTATGAAGAGCCGATGTGTCGATGGCGAAGTCTGGGTCTGATTCCGGTTCTGCGTGCGCGTCATGTCGTTTTGCACGCTTTGGTAGGGGTTGGCGGTAGTTGTTGTCTAGCTGCCTCATCGACACAAGGGCTTCGTGATCTGGTTCAAAATCGGACGTTGTTTGGTCTCGCGATGCATGGCTGTTCGCCATGACATCGGATGTATTGGTGTGATCAATCGGCGACATTGGGCCGAAATTCTAAATCATACGCGACAAATTCTCGATATTAGCAATTAATAGCAACTGTGCACATAGGAAGACATGAAGGACGAGTGTGAAAACAAATTAGCCGATTATACTGTGAAGATGGGAGGGGTCTGGAGGAGTACCTTTTTGCGTGGAAGGTCGTGTCGCGTCGGTTTTGATTGTTTGTTTAGGCGACAGCAGCAGATTAACTCGAAATGAATACAGACATGAACTGATATAGACAAGTAAAACAATGGATTCCGCTAAAGAGAAAATGCCTGCAATGTTAGTACAGCCCAATGGCCGATGGATAGGTGGTGTGGGAGTGTCGAAGTCTCGCGGTCGTTGACATGTGGATGTTGATTTATTCCGTTTCGGGAGGTTTGTTTACATTGGGAGTGACGGAATACACTAGGCTGGTTCGGGGCTAGCGTTCATATAGACTAAGCCTCAGAACTTCTCGCCGAAGAACTCTATTAGTTACACACAATAACTAACCAAGAGATTGTATGCCTGTCCATCTCTGTCTATGCTATATACATGTACCCATACGGCGGTAGGAGATCCAGGACTCCCTTTAGCCATGTTGATTCTCGCTTGTTATAGCTTCTTAGGACTCCAATAACTACAACCGACAATTGAATCTCAATGCACAACCGAAGGAGCCAAGGCTTACAATAACAGAAACTCCCACGCAAACCGGTTTTATGGGCTCCTCCCGATTTTTTTTTCCCCATGAGCGCTACTCAGTGGCTAAGCGTCCTCTAAGAGGTTGGATATGGGGAATCACGGAAAATTAAGGAGGAGTATAGAGTTTGGATAGAACCCATTGAACAGACATGACCATGTCGAGCCGAGCATGCATATCAATCCGGGTAACAAGCTGGAATTAGATTTTCAACCCAGAGCCTCCAGCGATGTGTATTGGACAACAAATGAATATCTGGGGATACGAGATGGATAGAACAGCCAAATGAGCCTTGCCGCACAGCGGGTGAGAATCACAGGAGAATGATCAACGCAGCGAGATATATTAGTTAACGGAAGAGGGGAGAACAGAGAAAGATAGGCAAGCCGTTTCAAGGACCAACACAGTCAGAACATCGCCCTCGCATTTTTATGTATCAACAGAGCAGATATTGGGCTTCTAAGCTACGCCACGGTGAAAGCAACCGATCGGAAATCAAATGTCCAGGTCTCAAAGAAACGGCTACGATTCTCTCTAAGCCTGTTCCCTCACAGGAGATACAGTATAAACCAGACTGCAATCTGTGAACCCCTTTCAAAACAATCATTAGGGGTAATAATATGGAAAGGCCCTTCGCTTAGTCTCGCTGTTGCTCAAGCAGATCCCCGAGCGATCAAGATTAGAGTTGCCGAAAAGCTTCTAGTCGGCTCCAACGTTTGAACATGCGGATGACGAAATTTTACTTTAAAGCCGACGCCCCGCACTCCGCAATTCGCATCTCATCCTCTTCGTACTTCCACTTTCCCTGTTTGTTCAAAGATTGCGTGTCTTGGACAAACCCTATCTTGTCTATATGAAACTGCTCACTATCTGGTTATGATATCAAGCGATCTATCTACAAAAACGACTCTACATAATAAGATTATAGCATCATCCTCCTGACCTGATATTCGACTCATCTCTAGAGACCGAGAATAATACGCACAAAGCTCCCATAACCATGGCCTCGCTATCCTTATCAACCCTCACCACCCTCTGGCCCCAAATAGCCGCATCCTACCCCCCGGGCCTCATCGAAGTCACCGTCACCATCCTCGCCCAAATCCTCGGCTTCTGGCTCCCCTGCACCCTCTACCTCGCTATCGATCTCGCATTCCCGGCCTTCTCCAGCAAACACAAACTCCAATCCTCCCGCCGCCAACCTACCTGGGCTGCCATAACCCACTGCTTTCAGCGCGTCCTGACCGCAAACCTCCTCTCCACCGTCCTGCACGTCGCCTTCGCCTTCGCGACAAACTTCCAACACACCCTCTTCACCATAACGTCCACCTACCCGACCCCGCGCGAACTTATCGCCGACTTCGCCTACGCCCTCCTCCTGCGTGAACTGCTTTTCTACACTGCCCACCGCTCCCTGCACCATCCAAAACTATACACGCGCTTCCACAAACAGCACCACAGCTTCACCGCCCCCATGGCCTTTGCCGCGCAATACGCCCACCCGCTCGAGCACATGCTGGCCAATGTCATGCCCATCGTGCTCCCGCTCGCCCTGCGCCGCGCGCATATCTTGTCATTTGCGTTATTTTTGACCTCAATGCTGATAGAGACTGCAAGCGTGCATAGTGGGTATGACTTTGCTGGGGCGCGCAAGCATGATTTGCACCATGAGAAGTTTCGGGTTAATTATGGGGCGCTGGGGCTGTTGGATTGGGTCTTTGGGACGGATGTGGTGGGGTGGGATCGGAAGGAGAAGAAGGAAAGTTAGGTTAATCTTAAAAATATTAGTTTGAAGTGGTGGGAGCTGATGAATTGGTGCTTGGATATAGGCTCTCCGTGTGCTTGTAAATATGTATATTTTTGGTGTTTTATTGCCATTTCACGCCAGGGTCAATGAGAGTATGAGAAATGTATCGATATATATACTAATACCAGCTCTGATGAGCCGAGCCTATCATTTCGTTCTGTTGCTGAGGGTGAGTCGTCCACAGAACTCTCAAACCAGACAGAGGGTTGACTATGAAATTGGCAAGTCGCCCGTCCCGATATCATTCAGCAAAGGGGGTAATTATTTGTTCCCTGCTGATCTGCCTTTTTTATTTTTTGGTTTCTGACATGGACAAATTCTTCCGAAATCCCATTTAGCAACAATGAATTTGTTAGCACGTCCCCCGGTTGAGACGTCCTATTTCATTAATCCACCTTCTCAAGGCGGAATCCCACAACCGTTAAAATTGGCCGGTTGTCTGAGATGCATCCCTTTCCTTGTCGAAATCCTCGACTTCATCGGATTCTATAGCGCTGCGTTCTACGTCCGCGAAAAGATCACTCTCCCTTAGACGACAGCGGAAGAGTTCCATACTCAACGCGGGAGGTTGGGAGATTCTTCGACGCCACGAAAGGCGCAGGCAGATGTATCCAGCGCCATTTGCGTCTGCAAAAGAGCACCGTGTTCTTCGGACGTTGGGGAAACCCGCAAGTTCACAAGCGAAGAACTCGAAAATCTCAACTCGCTCAAAGAGGAAATGTTTTCTTGTTGAAAGAAAACCGTAATCCAAGCATCTGGATGTTATTCTGGCGCTGAGTGCGACCCGGGTGTCCCATATGTCACGTTTCCATTTTCACATTTATAGCTGCAAGAACCATGAAGGATGCTGCTCAAAGCCATGCTTAGTGATTAACGGGAATGACTTCCATGCCCATTGCACTGCGGAATGCAAGTGTTGCGAGCGTCAGCACGATAGTATCTAGTAAGTAGTTACTGTCCAAGAAACGATCAAATACAGAGCGAGGTACTGCCATCTACTGGGAATTGGTACCTAGTGAATTACCTCCAGCTTCTCATCTCCGTGTATCGTATCAGCTTAACAGCCACCATTGAATCCTCCATCGAATCCGCCGTTGAATCTTCCATCGAATCCACCGTTGAATCCTCCATCAAATCCGCTGTTGAAATCTTCCATCGAATCCGCTGTTGAATCCTTCATCAATTCCACTGTTGACTCCATTGAATCCATCTCCAATTCAAAGCAGTCCAATACCTCAATTTGATGAATACTTCAATTGATTGACAAGAGAACAGTTGCTTGATATGAATATTGACAAGAGTATATTTCAAATTATAAGAGATGGGTTAAAAAGTCCATTATGATAGACAAGATTGCAGGAATTCAAATCATCTTTATTCACTGTTTATAGTGATGAGAACAGATCTTATACTGTTTCACTTCTAAATCTGTATTAAAATGAATTTCAATCTGAATCTTTCTAGTTATTACAATACTATTCTATATAAGTAGATCTGAAATATTCTTTTGTATCTTTTTCTCTCATGAAGTTCTCAACTGTATGATACAAAAAAGTTTCAAAATCTTCATTAAACTGAGTATCTAACTAACTCTTCAATTCTGATAAGATATCTGATGTGATCTTTGACTTTACATCACATGTTGAATGAGGTTCTCTAGCAGTTGCAAAACAGCAAAGATTTCACTGAATTCAATATACAGTGATCAGATGACAATCAATGCTCTGCATGATCTCAGCAGGTATATAATCATTCTTAAGAAAGTGTACAGTCCCATTGATGATGAAATCGCTGAGTTGAGATGACATATTGATGATAAAGGTAAGAAAGACATGTATTTGGATGATAATTGAATGATTCTAGAGAAACATGGATATTTTGATTTTTTTGTGGTGTTTTGCTACTAATTTTCAGGGGGTGCTGGGAAAATTCTGTTTTTGCAAGCAATACGTCCGCCACAATATCCTCTCTCATGTACGCCAGATTTTTCTCAAACCAGAAGAGTGCAGGGGTGAAAGACAAGCAAGTCTTCTGGCACATACAGGGAAACTATTTACATCGTGACCCCCGCTAAGTTCAAGTTTGACAGACTGGAATGCAGAAAAGGATTTATTCCAGTTCACCCGAGGTCGCTTTGTATACGAGGAAACCGATCAATTAAAACAGCGGTACATTCAGTTCGATCTCAAGCAGCTTGGTGAGATTGCTGCACAGGCAGTCGGTGCTGCACGATGCGTCAAAATTGAGAAATGTCCCGATGGCCTATACAACAAGGCCTACATCCTAACTATGGATACGGGTAAAGAAAGTCATTGGGAAGGTCCCGAACCCGAACGCTGGCATCGAGCACTACACCAAAGCCAGCGAGGTTGCCACCATGGATTTTGTAAGTTAGGCCGTCAAAAAATTCCAGGCATTATTATATTGGTCAGTGTTCTGATGTGATATTTTTATAGATGCGAAATGTTTTACAGACTCCGGCACCGCAGGTGTATGCCTGGAATTTCCGGGTTGATAGAAGCAATCCGGTCGGTGCGGAGTATATTGTAATGGAAAGAGTGCAGGGTATTCGTCTCGCCCGAGTCTGGGACTCGCTTCAGCTGCAAGATTGGATCAAAATATGTCTGCAAATTTTCAAATACCGAAAAAAAAAGTGGACCGCGGCCAAATTTTCACAGTTCGGAAGCCTCTACTACTGCCAGGACATCGAGTCAGCAGCACCAGGGACCCAACTGTACGTTGATGAAGCAGGGTACTCTGTTGATAGTTCCCAATTCACTGTAGGCCCTGCTGTTGGCCGAGAATGGGTTGATGATGGCAGATGGAATCTGCGGGGTGATCGTGGCCCATGTAAGTCACGACTTCCTATCTCCATTGTTCAGCATCTACTCACCATCTTATAAGGGCGGTCCATTCTTGACCTTCGCTCAGCGATTGGGTTTCGAGAAGCTACTGCTGTCAGAACATCCCAGCAGACACCTAAACAACTTGTGATGTTTTATGGACCCGGAGTTCATCAGCCGTCTGCCGCGAAGAAACTTGCAGCAATCGAGTCATACTCCCAAATTGTGCGCGTCCTGCTACCCAAGGAACCGGCCTTTACCACAGGCCACCTCTGGCATAATGATCCCCATTTGGAAAACATATATGTCAACCCTTCCAACCCCAGAGAAATTCTCGGCATTATTGATTGGCAGTCTGTTCAGATAATGCCTCTATTTGACCATTGCCTGGACCCAGATTTCATAGGCTATAAGGGACCAGACGTAGGAGATGATCTCGAACCTCCTATAATACCTAAATATGTCGACGACCTCGATCCGCCTGACCGCGCCATTGCTATAAAACAATTCTACACCAAGTGCCTCATGATTGCATGGCGGACGGTGGTGAAAGCCAAGAACCCTGCCCAATATAGCGCCATTCAATTCAGGGGATCTAAAGCCGGCCATCTTGGACATCTTATCCAAAATATTGCTGTGCTTGGTGAAGCGCATGCTCGAGCGTTATTGCTCGATGTAAGGGATGAGTGGTGGCAAATGTCTTCGTATTCGGATCCAAAATTCCCGATTGAGTTCTTAGAAGACGAAGTCACCGAAATTGAAAATGATGTGTAGGCTGCTGATATGGGTATTAAAGTTATGGTTACAATCAAGGAGCGGTTAGGGGACTTGTGGCCTGAACAGGGCCTCAATTACGAAGTCGTGATGATTAAATTGATGGAGATCAAATCCGAGCTCATGGATGCGCTTGTGAAAAATGAGGAAGATAGGGAGGTATTCTTGAAATATTGGCCGTTTGATTGCTGAGAGTGACAAGGACGTAAGTTGGCGGGACTCACTGGTTACACAAAGCAGGGCTTAAGGCGTAAGCGGCCAGATCGGGTTTATTGTACTGTACTTTCGTGTCCCCTACTTGGTCCCGCTTGTCCGTATGCCAAAGCTGTCTTCCCAACACTCAACGAGGAACTGGAGACACGGAGGTTCGGCTGATTACCATTATTGGTGGTTGAAGTATGCTGCCCTTGGCGGTCTTCCAAGGTTGATACTTAAGGCCACATGTATAAGATAGAGCCCACCAGAACAGCCTTGGAAGCCATTCCTTCCTCAGCCTCACCTATTTCTTCTGTTTCCCTTTTTTGTGGTACTCCATAAGCATTCTATTAGCATCCGTTATTGTTGTTGATTGTCTTCATTTTCTTGCTCTTGTTGTTTTCATCTTCCTATTATACCCTTCTGCTGCATTTTATTCTCTGCACTGATTCTGCTGCAACCCCTTGTCATCAGGTCTTTGTCATGACTCATCAGAAGATAGGGTTCAATTTCCAAATCCATCAATCTCTTTACCCCTCTCTATTATGGCCGTTGTGGAGGTTAGAGAATTCGCACTGGTGAGAGAACCTGGTCCAGAGCAAGACCAAGAGATCAGGGGGCTGAAACCCAAGAGCTCTGAATTCTGGACTGGAGGATGAAGAAGAGGAGCGAAGGCCAAGCTCTAAACATCATCAATTCTCAACATTCCAAGAGCAAACCTCTGATAGAGGACTAATGAAGAAGGTCCAAGATTTCCTGAATACCCTCGAAAGGAGACGAGAGGAAGCATCAGAACAAGAAAACTCCTGAAACTTTCATCAACTAAACCTCCTGATCAGTTTTACAACTCTTTGAATGGACCCTTACCTGGCAAGGCTGAGACTCAAATTGAACAGGCTTTGCAACAGTTCAAGCTCCTCATCTGCCGCCTCAATCTTTGGGTCCTTCCTAAATATGGAAGACTCTACCTGAAAAGCTGAAATGAGAGGAATTATTCTGTAATGTTTCTTTTTTGACCCCTGGGAGATCTGACGTTATAATCCCAGATCTTGTTCAACTTCTCACTCTTTTTTTCTTGCTTCTTTATTCTCAGATCGGAGTGTTCTTTGACAACACTGATAATTTTTCTATCTTCATATTCTCAATCTTTCAATGAGAATCCTTACACCACACTCTGGTCCTTCCCCGCTCAATCTGTCATGGAGTCTCTGTCTACCCTCCTCTTTTATGTCCGGCACAACACCCACATAGAAGCTAACAAACCTCTTGTTTCCGCATGAAGATTCCATTCCACATGTTTCTGCCCACGTTGGGGCTGCTGCATCAGGAACTGGAAATGGTTTGCTGGGCCCAAGAACTCCATTTCAACAAATGCAACACACTGTTTGGACGGGGTCTATCTGGGGAATTTCAATGTTCAAACAACGTTGTGCTGATCAGCATAGCGCCGACAACTCCCGCGTTGGCAATAAACCTCTGACCTCTTTCTGGCCCGGGGGAGGGGGAGGCGTTTTCAAAAGGCGACGACCCATAAGGTAATAGAATTTACCGAATTGGGAAGTCAGAGTCAGTTTTGACATGATGGTCGTGTTTCAGAGCCTCCTCTCAATACCTACAGGGCACCAACCCTGGAATTTCAATTTAGCGTAACGGCACACTTTACAAGGTGCAAAAAATACTAGTATATACATATATATCTGTACGCAAGCCAAAACGTACAGAGTTGCTCGGCCCCTACGACACCAGCCTCTCATCCAAGTAGTAAAGAGACGGTACAACCCCCCGATTGCATTCACATCATCAAGCATCCGGGCTCGGGTCCCGGGCAGGGCACGAGATCCAATACTGCACCCCAGGGCTCACCCCCTCAAGCCATCTTCGACAGCGTTTCCCACCTCGCAGCTCATTGCAAAAGACTGTCTCCTCAACCCCACCAGCACCGCCAATAGCACCCGCCTTATCACCACGACAAAGCAAGTCAAAGCAATGCGCCGGCATCACAAACTCCAACTCCTCCAACGTGGATGCCAGGTGCCGGACCAGCTTGTCCACGGGCCCTAGCCACAACTCCTCCCAGCTTAAATTGATCGCGTCTTCCACGTCACCGGGATCATGCTCACCGGCTCTATCTGGGAGGTTTGTTACGTGCAGCCGGACTATTTTCACGGGGGCCATGTAGGAGAGCGAGGTTAGGAGTTTCTGGTACGTCGCTGATCTCGTGACGGGCAAGCGATATGCATTGCGGTGTGGTGTGTTCGATAAGTTAAACTCTATGGATGAGACGGATTGGAAGCGCTTTTGCAAAGGTCGAGATGTAAAGATGGAGGTGTCTGCATCTCTATTGAAATTGAAGATATTTCTAGTGTAGAGGAGAGGGATGCATTCGGAGTATCTTTGGTGGAGGGGGCAGGTGAGTTCAAGCAGTGCACCGGTCAGCATTCGTACGCCTTTCTATTTCGTGTAAAGTGGGTAAGGGAGAGGGGAGGGGAGGGGAGGGAATGACTCACATCCTCCTACAAGTTCTTAAAATCTCTAAATACAGGCTATCCTCTGATCCATTGCCACACTGACAGGTCACTTTCCTGTTCTCGTTGTAGCCGCTGATAACTGTGTCCCAAAATTTCCGATCCCACCTCGCACCAGTGTGCCGGCAGGCTTTGAGCACTCTGTATCCCCGGTAGTCTAACAAAATGATTATTATCCATACTTTTAGCAGTGAGTTGAAAAAGCTTTGCGATTATCCACAACGAGGCGGTAGAGAAAGAAGGAAAATAAAACAATCCGCGATTTGGGGAAACCTAGCATCCCGGCTGAGCAAGAATCGAGACCATAGAAAAATAACGTACAACTGGTATCCACATGCAACACTCGATTGCCCAACAAAACTTCGAATATCAAAAACCGAATTTCAGGCGGGAGGGCCGTATATAGTGTACAATGAGCCTGCGGGGATGTGTATGCCCAAGGATCGGAGAAGGGCGAGTCGACCCAGTCTGGAAGCGGATGAGTGATACCGCGACGTCGACATTGCGGCAGACGGGGCCGTAGGGGTGGCGACTTGTCGGACCGATTGTGGCAGTAGAGAGAGAAGTTTAGGGGAGCATCAGGCGGGAATGTGTAGTATGGGTTCGGCATTGTGGTTGTAAGGTTTTTGTTGCCCGGTCTTTTGTGCAGTACTAGTAACTAATAAGGGGGTCAAGGATGGCGGAGGCTGGCCGCTGGAGCTTGTTCAGGCGAGAGTTTTGGGAAGACTGTCAAAGAGCTGTCTCGCTCTCTCTCTCTACGTTGTAAGAAGAAATATTGATGCAATTGGAAATACTGGGGTGGTATCAGCTGAATGCTGATATGAAGCGCTGATGGACAGCCCAGCGTAACAGGCATTTGCCGACAGGTCAAGCGGTGTGGAGAGAGCTCTCCGATGTTCGGCTTACAGCGTACGTAGTAAGTACTGTAGGCTACTGGGGCAAAGAGCTCAGTCACCACCAGCGCACTGCTGGTAGAAGGGCCGATCAACCCGGGACCCCCAACAAGTACAGCTTAAGTCCCGTGTGTCCCCGTGGTGTCACTGTGTGGGGATGCGGCGATATAAATAGCGACGAGAAAGGGACTACAAGGGGAGCTAACAAGGATGATTTGTTACATAATCTGTAAGGGGCCGGGAGTAAATCCTCAAGATTCGGAAGCTAGATAATCCATGAAATAGAATGGGACTCAATGTAGATAGGTAGTAAATAGTAACGTGGGAGTGTGAAACACTACCAGAAAGCAAAATATAATAAACCAAACAAAGTTGCCAATATGTACCAAGATCTATCTCAGGTTGTATATATATAGTTATGTAATGCACCAAATCCCCAAATACCCTAACTCGGAACTCCTTGCTTTAAGGAAATGTGTAGGGAGAAAATGCGTGCGACTGGTAGGTTGACGGAAAGTGGAACACCAGCACATTGAGCTACAGGGAATGATAACAGATGGAAACAGAAAGGGGGGAAAAAAGGTAGGTAATCAAACAATAGCCGGAGGCATATTTAATACAGGGTTTGGGTGGGGAAGGAAGGGGCCAGAGTAATGGTTATAAGTCCTTTAATCATGCAATACAAGTGAATATATGATAGCTGCCGTTAGAATTAAGAACCATAGAGAAGCAAGAAAGCAAGGAACGAGGAATTCAATGGAAGGAGGATTACTGCTAGTGGGACCGGGAGGTAGACAAATCATGGTCCCGTTTGGCTGGCCATGTTTCGCTCAGGAGGGGGTGGCAGCGGGGACACTGGGGTGACGGGGGTACTGGTTCCTGGAGTTGGCAATTCTATTTCGATGCTAGGAACTCCTAGCGCGGGAGGAAGTTGGGGTCCCTGCCCTCTTTCAAGAGTTGGGCTCGGATAAGCTGGCGCTTCACCCCAGTCTAACTGATCGTATTGTGGCGGCTGGGGGATATTCGAGTCCCCAATATCTGCCTCAGCAGGAGTGGTGGAACCCCTTGGGGTATCGTGGTCCGATTGGTTTGTTGCGTTTGAAAAGAGAGAGGAGCCCGATGTAGCGCGCTGACGTGCTCTAGATAAGCTGGTTAACGAGGAATTGCCGCTCGTTCCCATACTTGAAGCGCCATCAAGGAGTGGCCGAGAATCCGATTCTTGGGAACTTGCACGTAGTCGGGTACCATCGTGTCGAACATGGCCCACTTCCGCATATGTAACACTTGCTACTCGCTTATCCCTTCCACGAGACTGGTGTTCAGCAATTAGCGTCGCTGCGCTTGGACTGGTACTACCGTCACTCCGATTTCGGTTCCGCGCTCGACTTTCACGCCGCAGCTCTTCTAATCGGCCCCAGTCGCCGCGTTCTCGGGCTTCTCTCCGTTCCTGCCTTCGTCGCTCCCGGTCTGCGATTTCCTGTCTTCTCGCCAGCCGGATTTGATACAATGATTCCATCTGCTCTTCCCTCCGGGCCTCCTCCTCATCGACTGATTCAGGAAACTCGACTACAACATCCATGCCAGCCCGCTCGCCTTCCCTCCCGATGATTTGCTCGGTTTCTTTCGGGACCGGGGAGTACATGGGTAACGTCATCACTGATCGGATAGAGGTGTTACGATCCACACCACCGTCGCCGGCTCCCCGATAAGACGTATTCTGTGATCGGTTCGAACAAGCCTGTCGCGTTGCTGGGATGACGTCCGGGACCTGGCCATATGCTGTCTTTGGCAGCCAATTCCGCCATTTGTTCTTTAGATATTGTGTAGGGATAAACCTGGGCTCTACATTTCGATAGCGGAGAGATCGGAGGAAGTAGTAGATAAAGAGGGCGACGATTATAGCAGCGAGGAGGGAGATGGCTACCTGAAGAGGGAGAAAAGGGAACACTTGTCAGCTGAACAGGAAACAATGTCCACAAACCTTCTTGATCAAGGAGGCCAGAATCAAGTCTTACAATAATGGGGATCTTTGTCGAGGGGTTATCCTTTGAGATATTGCCCGTCGCCCGCCTTTCGAGATCGTAGCTAGAGGGCTGAGGAAGAAACATTGTACCTAAAATATCTGACAGGCTCATTCAAAGGGAAGCTATATATATCTTTCTCTTCACAGCCAGAACATGGCACCAATAGAACGAGAGAAAAAGCAGCAGAAACGAACGGAAAAGAGCAAAAGAATGAAAGGAAAAGAGCGACGCCGTTCTCGGGAAGATGGAAAGCTGTATGTAAGCTGTCAATGAAGACTTCTTCTTGGGAGGGGGGGACTGGCTCTGGATCAGCGGCGACGTTCCCTAGCGGCTGGTGGCTGAGGCTGACTGAAGTTGGCTGGACCAGAACAGAATTGAGCCACGCAACAGGGCGGCGAAGGATCCCTCCAGTATAAGCAGTACGGAGTATAAGTGAGAGGAGTGGACGATGGATAGGTTTAAAAAAAAAACATAAAACTATAAGAACGAAAGACGATAGAGACGAGCGCACGATGGAAGCGAGAAAGATGGCGGGAGGAGAGGGTGAAACAGAGAAGAGTTATGCGGCGGGATGTTTGGCGGTGCAGGCGAATAAGGTTTGGTGGCAGAGGAGGAGGGAGGAGAGGAGGGCTAGGGCTCTGAATAGCGCCAGCAGCCAAAGAAGGGCAGATCGGGCAGATCGGGCAGATCCATAGTAATAATATAAATATGTTGGCCCTTACGGCCGTTGCGGTTAGCGATCCCACTAGATCACGTGACCCACCACTATATTATGTTCCTGTAGATAGATCTATCAATACAACCTTCAACTATTCTACAGATTATAGCCTGGATGGCATGTTTTTCTTTTTAGAATGTTGAATCAACATTTTTAACACAGATAGTTCATCTTTTTTGAAAAGACTCTTACTCTTTATTAGAGATATTTCATTTTCTCTGAATCTATCAGTCAGTGAATTCATATACTTTATTTTTTTTAAGAAAGTATGTTCTTCATTGTGAAGAATATCACTTTTTATCTTTTTTTTACACATCTAGAAGAAGCAGAGTTATCTTGATATAAGTGATACATCTGTTACTTCAGAGTTTAGCTCAAGATTCAGAATCACACACTTCACTAGATAACTCATTAATAGAATGATTACTTATTATAAGAAAGCTTCTAACTTGTAAGATAAGACTGAGATCAGTTTTTACTAGAGTATGAAATTTGATAATGAGACAATAGAGAAACTTCAGAATAAAGAAAAGTAGAGTTAATCTTAATATTTATCTATAGAATCTGTTTATTTTAACTCATTGAATTCTTCACTATTCTTCATTCTCAGAATACTGACTTTTAATAATGATCTGAATCAATCTATCTATTACACTGTAGATAATCTTATAAATCTTATATAGATAATACTACAGAATTAAATGACTACAGCTGAAATCACTCAATATCTCACTACATCTGTATAAAGAGACACTATGAGAAATGAGTTGTAGAAATATCAGAAGAAAGTCAAATATACACTAGATATTAAATCAGTGATTATATTTGATGACTTTAATTATAAAGTCTGATGTGTTAATATATTAACTGATACAGAAGTTATTGATAAAACTGACATTCTATTAAAAACTTAATGAAAATCTTCTTTTACATATTATATTAACTCTGAGAAGTGAAGAATCTGTTTCAAGTCTCTATATAGATGTATGCTATTAAGTCTTATTAAGAATATTTAAATTACTATTAAAACCTTGAAAGCTAACAATGCTGCAGCTCTGTAAGACAAGATTAATGTGAAATATATAATATCACTGATAGAAGAATGAGTTAATATCTTTAAGAAATTGATAAAATTATAAGTCAAGAAGAATGATTATCTTACTTTTCAGAGATATTTTCACTATCTTATTATCTATCACAAAGAGCTCTGTCAGAGTACTAAGAATATATATTATAATCTTTTTCTCAACAATCTGCAGAATTATCAAAGACTATTTATCAAGATATATTTAAATGAGTTTTTCTTCACTGATCAGAGACTCATTGTCAATATTAATATTGATGATTTGATGAAGTAACTGATTAATCATACATTTAAGAAGATTATCACTGAGTGAAAAAAGCAGTCTCAGGCTGATTCTGTGACTGTGAAAAAGAACAAAGATAAGAACAAAGATAAGAACAAAGATAAGAATAAAAGCACATCTGTATGAAAGTGTACTCACTGCAGAAGATATGATCATACTGTTGACAGATGTTTCATCTTATACTCTGATAAAAAGAAGAAGAAGAATGATAAGAAGAATGACAAGAAGAAAGAGAAGAAGAATGACTTGATAAGTTCTCAATCAGCAGTAAATACAGTAATTATAAAGATTGAGTTCTATTTCTCTTTCACAGTCACTGAAAAATCATTCTTCAGATCTTGATATTTGAACACATGTGTAAGCCTGAATATAATAAGTGAGCTTCATTCTTTTTTAAATATTAAATCTTTTAATAGTAATATCTCTGTTGATTCTGTGACTGAGAGAACTGAGTTTGTTAAGAAGATTGAAACTATCACCTTGAAGATTAAGAATGATGATATTAACTTACAGAATGTTCACTATATTTCTAATATTACAGTTAATCTGCTCTCATTTATGAAGCTTGAAGATCAGAGATTCTGATTTATATTGTCTTTCACTATTCTCTCATTTTTCATTTGCAGAGTCTTAAATGATGTTATTTTTCATACAGTTCAGACTGCTCAGAACAATATATATAAGATTGATAAATGAGAGTTCAATGAGAATCTCAATCATCTGAACAAGGCAGTCAAGTATATTGTAATGTCACATGAGTATGATTTTGATTGAAAAGTTGATCTTTCTGTGACTGCTGTTACTACTGTTAATAACATTGATTCTACAGTTCTGAATACAGATCTCAAGAATACAAGAATATCAAAGACTCTTTTGAACTGACACTGTGATCTCAGTCACATTCACACTGATGCTATAATTGCTATGATCAAGAATTCTCATACTGAAGTCATAATTAAGAGTTCTAAGACTAAGTTCTTTTATAAGAAATGTGTCAAGACAGATATAATGTAAGATTATTTAAAAACACTGATGTCTAGATCTATTCAACTCATTGAGAAGGTTTATATTAATCTTGTAGATGACAGATATACATTGAAAGACCTC